TGTCTCATGTGAATTATGTACTTGGCAAAAACATTCTGCGGTTTTTTAAACGATTTTTTGGCAAATTAATACCGCCTGGGATTTTCTCTACATTGTGCCGAAATTAAATAACAAGTGGACCAACAACTCGGTGTTTGTACTCACTCGTATGGTAGGTGTTCGTGTATACGCACATGTAGTGAGTACGGCGCGGTTTAAAAATACGAGCACATGGCGATGATGCACGGACTAATAACGAATGTCAACATGGAATGCCAAGTTTAGCGTGTTTTGCACGCCAAAATATTATGTGCGCTATACTCGCACAAGCAGGACTCATTTTATGTCATTTTCATATTTCACGTGTGTCATCTTTGCTTATTTACTTATTTTGAGTCATTATTTTAGTCAATTTCTTGCCAAATTCAATGACATGTAATTGAATTAAGTAATTAAAGTTTATTAAACTCATAATCGCTATATTTTCATAATTTTCGTAAAGAATTTGTGGAAATTTTAATAGTTTTTCTTAAAATTACAATTAAAAAAATCAATAAAATTAAAAAAAAATGTTGAAGATCAAGGATCAATTATAGGTTATGTTGGCGGATGTGCGGTTGCTGTTCATGCGGAACGGCGAATTGTGATTACCCTCGTATGATGCCTGATGTAATCACATCGTGGGTGATGCCCGATGATGATGACTATGCATTATGATGCGTGCTTGCGTTTCGGTATGAACCTACTTACATACTCGTACCTACGTGCGAGAGTGTGTAATTCACCAAACACGAATTCCAACTTAACTTGGGATTGGGATGCCGCGCTGCCGAGGACGCTTTTCGGCGTGGCTAAAAATAACCCGCAGCGGCGCGCGTGCTTTTTTCCGAGTGCAAATTATATCTTTTTTTTTTCACCGCACATCTCTCATCTCGCATGATTCGCAAGCGCACGACGCGAAAACTATTTGTGGCTTTATTAATACCCACACACAGTGCACATATTATGTGCTGTAGTGACTAGTAATCCATCCAGAGCCAGTTTTTGCACAAACAAGTTTCAACCGAATCAAACTCGCCCGCGATGCGCGCACATCCGATCCAAACTTCCTAAACACGAGTCGTGTGTTTATCTAAGTATGAATTATTGCTAGCGCGAGATCCATTGTTAATGAACGCTTTTAATTTATGTCTATTGTTTGCGAAGTCTCTTGGCCGGCGTCTTGCATGCGAGCATTCATTAAGCGCTGTGTGTGTGTTTATGGTTTGATTTGTTTTTTGCGTCTTATTATCGCCGCCACCGCCGTTGTCGCATTCTCGGTGCACACTTGTAGAGCAAACAAAGTGCGTGCTACTTGCGGTGGCGTGCATTTGACCATAGCAATTTGCGCTCGTGCTTTGCCAAAATGTGTGCATGAGTAATTAGGTTCGGGAGTCAAATGCGCGTGCGATACTACGAACTGTTTGTAAGGCGCACACGGGTGCAATGCGATTGTTCATAATTTTATTTGCACACAGCGTGAGTGCCAAGTTTAGATGTGGAAATGTTGAGTCGTAAAGTTGCCTAGAAATATAGTTTAGAGTGGTCTAATCGATTATTTTGGGAAATATTTATTTAACAAATATTTTACATTTTAGTTATTAGCTTCCTGATAACTATTTTTATCGGGAACTTATAGCCCAGTCATTTGGTAGTTTTGCTTGGAAAATAGTGCGGGATTGTTGAAAATTGGTATTCATATAGATTTCGAGGTGCTCTTTACGAATTTCAACTTTGCCACCTCGTATCTTGTTCGCTCGAGCCACCATCTTGGAAAAATGGTGTCAAAAACAGTTTTTGACCATATCTCCTGTCCGACTCATTTTACGATAAATATATCTATATAATAAATTAAACTAGAGAAATTTTCCTATAATTTATGTAAGTACCTTTTCTTGTAAAATTAATAGTTTTAGCGTACGGGCGCCGCAAAATCTACTTCAACATTAATTTTGCCAAAACTCATTTCCACACCACCATGAGGTAGAGTACGTGGCGCGTTTGTTTTTTTATCGTGGTTTCCTCAGTAGGCCTAATCCACACGCACTAATCCAAAATTTAATGGATTGTCTTCCGATACGCTCTTCGCGATAGATCAAGTGTTCTGCGTTAATTGTCTTCAGGACCGATCGAAATATCACAGGGAAAAATTTCTTCCATACTATCCGTGATGGGATTATCGTTTTCAATGCAATCTTGGTTCTCGAGTTCATCGTACGTGTGCTCAAAAACGGTAATCGTTTCTTCCTCTTCATCGCTATCTTGTGATGGAACTTGCGAATTGTCACAGGTACCACTGCAATTTGTTCAGATAACGGAGCACTTCATTCCAGTCTTTCTAAAGCCGCAGGCTTTCTGACATCCCTTTTTGCATTTGCAAGATATTAGTTTTAACAATGTTTCGGGGGCTGGGGGCTCAAGTGTGGTGACAGGAATTAGCCCATTCTTGTTTCTTTTTCATCCCCATTGTTCTGCATTTAGTTCATTCCAATACTACTACTTAACTTGGTGATAAGTTCTGAACGAATGTACATTAATACATTTTAATTTTCCTTGATGAAATAGTGCAGATGTTGTATCACAGCCACAAAAAGCGTGTAAGAATAATATGTGATCTGCCGCTGTTTGATCATGCTTTTGGTTGAATAGATTTGTTGCAAAATTTTTCCTTTTTCTGGTTTTAGCAAATATGTTGTATGTTTGAACACATTGATAGTGCCGTTAAAAGAATAAGAAGATCTACATCTTCGCCGATAACATGCACGAATTGTGATACTGTGCATTGGCTGCGACCAAATCATAAACACGCTCGAGGCATTCAACAATCGCTCTACCCCAATCATCATTACGTGCTCTAGGACGTTCTGAAATAGTGTTTTCATCGATAATTTATGTACGCTATACACAATATTTCGATCACTCAAATGCGTCCGTTTTTATTTCGCTATAAATTCTGCTGTTATTTCAGCAGCGTACAAAAAACAATTATCTTTAAATGAGAATGTTGGGCACGTGGATCGCAGTTGTGGTTGAAAAGTCGTGACAACACTTCCTTTTTTAAACTCAATGATTAGTTTCTCATTATTATATCGTTTCCGACATATCTCGTGAACAACTACCGATCTCAATCCCTCTAAAAGTTTACCCTTATTATCCTTTCTTTTAATGCTCAATCACTTCACTATCTTGCAATGGAGTTTTACAAAAGAAAACAATTTACGTTATCAACCATGGCATCAAAACTGCAAACAACACGACTATTCAGAACAATAAATATCAAATAATGACTCAATGAAGAAATAATGAAACAAAAGTAAACTCGGCCGGCAAAAGTTTCAAACAAGCGAGGGGGTGCAGGAGCACCCTCAAATCATAGCAAGCAAAAATAGCAGTCATGATGACCTGGAAATGAGTTTTTGACAAAACGAATGTTGAAGTAGACTTTGTGGCGCCCGTACGCTAAAACTATTAATTTTACATGAAAAGGTACTTACATAAATTATAGGAAATTTTCTCTAGTTTAATTTATTATATAGATATGTTTATCGTAAAATGAGTCGGAAAGGAGGTATGGTCAAAAACTGTTTTTGACACCATTTTTCCAAGATGGTGGCTCGAGCGAACAAGATACGAGGTGGCAAAGTTGAAATTCGTAAAGAGCACCTCGAAATCTATATGAATACCAATTTTCAACAATCCCGCACTATTTTCCAAGCAACCACGTTTTTAGCACCAAATGACTGTACTATTATTAGAAATTAAGTTTTAATTTTCACCTGTTTATTGTTCCGTGAATATTTGTTAGATGGCGGTAGATGTTTAATTTAATCATATAAATTGTTCACATCACTATTTATCAAGTTGGGAAGACATGATAATAGTGGTATATACTATTTAAAAGGTACTTATATAATTTTTTTAAGGTTTGTGTTGGTAAATATAATATTTTTACGGTGGATGTACTTCTCTCGCCGTTTTCTAGCTATTTGTGTTAAAATATTATCAATTTTTATTTTCAGTTATTTAAAATATTCTAGATTAATTTAAATTGTTGATTTGCAGATTGACATTTGTTTGTCAGCTCCTTGATAAATAACAATAATATTTATGTCCTTGGTATATCTAAATTTTGTTTGAAAGGCGCGATGTTATTTTCGAATTAATTTTTATTTTTAATGAAATGTTTTCGATGTTTCTAGAAATTGCGTTAATACTATCCGGTCGATTAGTCAAGCCACAAAGCGGCCGTTTCACATACGGCGTTTATTCACTGGGTAATTGTGAGGAAGTAATAACATTAACGAAACGCAAACAGACGCATGAGTCTTTAAGTCGCACTTTCAACATCTTGAATCGTCGTGGATATAATCCACGAAAAGTGGAAAATTCAAATACGCGCTCCGGAATCGCACACTTTGCTCATTTTTACATTATTAATTTGGCGCACGGCCAAAATATATAAACCACTCGCGTGTCCGTCCGCTGCTTCGTGTTGACTGTTTCCATTCCGCGGCGGAGCGGCACGTTGTGAAAGCTCAAGCTTTTCGGTCGGCGAATGGCAATGGCAGTGTGTTCAGTTTTCATATGACGCGTGTATCAGAAACACACTGCCTTTGTTTTGGTTTCATGCAATGAAAACGATGATTTTCAACAAAGCTACGCTACTAGCAAGCATAGGAAAAAAATAGATTTTCGGTGTTGCCAAACACATAAATCTATGTGAATGGGAATCCATACTGCAATCGTTTGAATTATTTACAGTTTCTATGATTTCTATGAAACACTCTATAATTACATATCATGTTATTGTAGGAAATATGTTATGCTTCGATTAAAGTTTAGGTTTTGATGGAATATTTACGATCGTAAAAAATCTGGACCATGATTGGTGTAATGGCATCGCTATATGGCATTCTAAAATTAAATATATGTGTGGCATTTCGAGTGATTTTTGACTGATGTGTTTGTTTTGTTTTTTGCAGAGGAGGAGTGCTACCATTGCATAACGAGTCTGGTGTCATCTAAAAAGAAGCAGTTTATTACGCAGACAAAGTCTCTTCATGAGGTGACGTGGAAGACTGTGATGCAGATTTGCAAAAAGCACGTGGTAAGTGTCAGTCTCATTTTTATACATAACTAATCACTAATTTACTTGTTATCATAATTTAATACATTTTTGTTGTTAATATATGATAATTAGGTAATACTCAAAATTAAATTTAAAACGTTTATCCCGAAATAGTTTATTTCTAGAAACTTGAATATCTACTAAAATTCTAAATTTGTTGCATTTGCAAATATATCGTATCATAGAGAATGAGAAATTAATTTCTCATGTTGCGATAATAGTTGCTTATACAGCCTTGCAAGGTGCAATGCAAAAGTACTCTTTTTATGTGTAGTCCCACTCGAAAACATTCAGTCGCTTAGTAATAGGCTCTAAATAACATTGAAATTCATCTGATTTCACGTGACAGGAAAGGTATTTACCTTATATGCGAATTGAAATTACTCGCGAACCAGTTGCATACCTACTCTGATTCCACAACCACCCGAAAAAGTACACAATATCGATAATATAAAAATGAATCGCAAAATCTGTTGGTAAGCGCGTAACTCAACAACGCCTAGATCAATTTGGCCAATTCTTGTTTTTAATGTTCGTTGAAGTCTTAGGATGTTTTTACTGCGAGAAAAATTTGAAAAATTGTTGGGAAACCCCTAAAGATAGTCTTTTCTATAGGATAAAAGTTGGCATTCAGATTCAATCATAGTTATAGTTAAATAGTTGAATCCGAGATGGCGCGCTGTAGTGCATTATTAGCAATTCTTTATATAATTAATTTCTTTAAAATAAAATTGCGAATCTTATTGATAGAATTGACACATACTATGTCTAGAACAAGAGAGTAAAAACTAATTACATTTTTATTAAACACTACCGGGACGAAGTCGTGTGCAAAAGCTAGTTTATTATAAATTTTCCTTATCAGAAAAAAATTTCCGTTGTTTAATATTAATTTTGTATTCGGTGCGGAGATAAATCTAACAAATTAAAAATTGATAAAATCTGTAAAAATTGTTTTTCAGATACAAATAAGTATTTTTATGTAGGTACTGTAGGAATGTTAATACAAATAATAATAAAGTGGACTTTTGGCAGTTAGATGATAATAATTTAATGAACATGAATATGTAGAACAGTAAAATCGGCAAAAATATCAAAATTATACAAAATAAAGTCAGTTAAATCTTGGAACAACTCCCGCACACCCGACGTCTAAAACTTCTAAATGATAACTGGTTCAAAAATGGCGTCTCGTCTTTATAGCCCTAATGCACTTGAAGTGTTCTCTTTCGTCCGAAAGGCTCTCGAATATTAGCCGTTCAATCCTACAGTACCTATATAAAAATTATATTCATTAATATTATTACCTTACAAAATATGAATTATTACCTACATAATATTTATTGATGAATTAAATACCCAGTGGCAGATTTATCACGCCTAATCGAATTATATTATTATTGATTTCACGATGTGTGTCTACCGTTATCGCAAGTATAAAAACATAACCCACTCAAAACAAACAAACACTGATTACAAATCATGTACACATTTATATTAAACATTAAATTTACTCTATGTTTGCAATGTATCAAAACCAACTATTAATTGAACCGTTCGGTTGGTAATTTATCGCCCACTAAACTTGAATGTTGGTGAAATGTTTGTGTGGATTATTTTCTTTATTTGTTGTTAAATCAAACATTAACATTTCGCGCTCATACAACAATGTCTATAAATAGTCGCCGTGTGTGCATCTCTCGCACTTGACAAACACATGATTTTTTCGACAATTTTTATTGCACGTTTGTGTGAAGTAGATAGCGATAACGGTGAGGTTATCGTCACCACGTCTCTATGTTCCCCGAGCGCGCGGCGAATAGTTTAAACCAACTTGTGATTACACAATCGCAACTAAACAAAGCGTAAAAAAAAGCGCGTATGATCACAACAAAATCTAAAAACCCAAACAAAACAATTGAAATGTATTAAGTGCGAATTACGTTCGATATTTTTCGTTCGATATGACGTTCGCAATTAGTTTGATAGTAAAATGATTACTAACTTATAAATCGTGACGCGAGCTTATAATGAAAGTGTGTGCGCTTGTAATGTCAGCAGCGTTGAGTGTGTGTTATGTGAATGAACGGCGACGTCAGACATCACGTGCGTTGTTAATTATTCGCGCCGGTTGCGATTGTTGCATAGCGCACGCCGGGCGCGTTTCGTGTGCTTACATGAATTTGCGTCGCCCAGCCAGCCGGTTGTGTGATCTAATCGTGTAATTACGTTTTGATAACATGCACGTTTTTGTTACGTGCGAATCGGGTAGCATGTGCTCTCTGTGGAGACGAAAAATATGATACTTACAAGTCGTGCGCCGCATGGCCTTGACGGTGGGCACAATTAAATTGTGTGTGTTTGTAAAAATATACACGGAACGATGTGGACTAGTTATTATGATGCTATTTTTGTTTAAAATTAGTGTAAATTATCGAATACTTTAATAGGTCAATGTTAATCGGTTTGATTTGAATTTTTCTGTAGAGACATAGGTGTAAATGAGAAACAAATATTGTATTGATATGAAATTTCAAGTATTATGCTTTGATTTTTTTGAAATTTTAATTAATCGATTTGTTGTGAAAAGTTTCAATTGACTTGTGCACTCCAGGGATATGAGTTTCATTGAGTTAAATATAAACCGAATAAATTCTCTTGTTGCGGTCTGTTGCATTCCGTCTCATTGTTTCAGCGTAGCCGTCATCCATTTCGTTAATTTAATGAATGTAGCTGTTGTTTTTGCAGCTTTTGCGTTCGTGTGTGCACTGTTGCATCCGTGAGTAAATACGAAATCGGCCGCCTCAAGGCCGCCAGCGCGCAACAAGCCGCATCGATTGTTTCTGCTCTGCGGTGAGTTTGTTTTAAAAAATTAATCAGGGTGAATGCACTGCGCATATACGAGTACACTGAGAGCAGAGCGTACGTAATGTGTAAGCCGTGTGTTGAGTGCGCGTTGCGCACAACAATCTCTCGCCTATCTCGATTCGTTTTAGTCGCCGGCACTCGACGCGTCGCTTGTTTGTGTGCGGTATATTCGTGGTCGTGATTTGCACTCGAGCGCACATACTGTTGTCATCCGTATTGTATTTTGCTCCTCGACAGGGAAGCCGAACCCCAACGAGGCGGTTATGAGCAGCAGGAGCGCATGGAGCGAATGCTTCTTGTGTGTTTCAGTAAGTGAGTAACTGAGTTAGTCGGGTACTTACTTAGTGGCTTACTGATTTGATACGATTAAGCTTGTATGTGTGTGGATGTTGTGTTTTTGGTCTTGGGAGTTGGACTTGACGCCGAGGCTGGTGCGCGTTTGTTGTTTGCAGTTACAATTAGTATAATCCAGTAAACACAATAAACGCGATACCAGCGCTCCAAGCGTGTTAATGAAGCTCGGCGAGATGTTCATATACAAAACGTCGTTTGAATGCATTTTAAATTGAAATTTATAATGGAGGCCATCTTGAATTTGTACTAAGTTTAGTTGACATAATCACTAGAGCATTGCAGTTTAATATTTTATTAGCTTTCGCTCGTATTCTGGTAAATTTCAATAAAAAGTTGTCCAACTAATTAAGCGTTTTCTTGTTGCTTGTGGACCTATTATGTGTGGATTTTGTAAATAAGATGGAAATTTTAATTTAAAGATTTTAGACATGTTTGTAATTTACTTTCGCGCCATCTCGGATTCAATTATTTAGCTATAATTATGATTTAATATCTATACCAACGTTCATCTCTTTTTTAATACCCTGTAAGTTATAATTTTTGATATTTTAATAATTAATCTACTATTCTGGGTGGAGATGACTTTTTTGAGTTCTATATGGTGTAACTAACGCAACTTTTCTTTATAGCCAGAATAAGATATATTTTCTACAAAAAAAGTAACCTAGCTGCATTTTCTTGATCACATATTTCTTCATATAAAAATTTCTTGAAATTGTTTTAAGTGGTTTTGCGTGAAACCTTAACAAACATACAAAACCACAGTTGCATTTATAATATTAGCTAGGAATCCTAGTTATTTTCTTTATTATATGCAACCATCATTGTCCTAAAAACTTACAGACATTTTTAAATTTTTAGTCATTGTTTTTTCGCTAATAAACTTTAACTGTAATAAAATTTTACAGTTTTACGTCCATTTTCTCGCTTGAATTTTTATTTTACGACTGCATCTCTAATCTTTAGTTACTCTGTATTCATATCATGCTTCTTCTACGTACAATATCCTCGCATTGTTAAACTGAACATTTTGGCAAGTGAGGAGGAGTCGGTGACTTTCATTCGTCCAGGATTAAGTGTGCATTAGTGCGTTAAGTGTAATAGGACGTAGGTAGATCGTGAATGGTTTAATGTCTCATGCAGCATTAATGTCGCATTTTTAACACTTGAGAGCGTCGCTCATCGTTTTCTTGATGGAGATGATAGCCGCGCCGCGTTCGCGCGGACCTAGTACGATCGCGCGACTTACAAAGATTACTGGTAATTTATGCGGATTAAAAAATCCGTCCGACCTTCACTAACATTTATTTTATTTAGCTATTCACGCTGGTGCAGGCCGCTGGTGATGGTGGCGGGGTGGAAGAGCAGTGTCTGCGCACAATTTATTTACAATTTCGTGTGATTGTTCAATTACGCCGGCGCTGCCACCACCGCTGACTTCCAATTGCAAATTACATGTATTACGTGTGTGCGAATTTGCGATAATCACATGTTGTGGAGTTGCTGCAACGTTACTAAGCGGTGGCAAAAACTATTTTCTACACTTGTCATTTATTATGTTATCAATTGTAATGTAATCTTTTTAAAGTTTATTTTTAACATATTTTTGCGTAGAGAAAAACAATGCAATTATTATAATGTTCGTCCTTGTGTGTAATTGCTGGCGGAATATATACCTAAATATTAAAAATTGGTGAATTTTTTAAACGGCAGTTTAAAATCTGGGCCAGGAATTTTATTTAGTTTTTACTTGCGTTTACGCGGCATTATCCCAGTAATTAACTTTTATTTTTATGTTCAGGATCTAGTATATATTAATTTCTTTACTAAGAATCGCATTTTTTTTTTAATTCACTTAACATTCTTTAAGTAAGAGTTTTTGATATTTTAATAGTTATTCTGCCTTTCGGGGCAGAAACGAATCCAACAAATCATAGATAATCAAAATCTATGCAGCCGTTCTTGAGTTATAAGTGATGTAACTAACACGACTTTGTTTTTTGTAAATATTTGTCTTTTTCAAGTGGTCGTAACACAGTCGTTTTGTTTTAGAAGGCCGCAGCCGTGCACCTCCAGAGACAATGCCCTAGCTCACGCGTGGAGCGCATCTACATGGACTGGATATGGTGGGTGCTGCAAGGGCTGCCGTTTACGCATCTCGTGCGCGTCATGGACTGTTTTTTCCACGAAGGTATTAAGGTAAGCAATGCAAATAAAGCAGGTTGATACCAAATCGAGAGGTGATTTCATACCGACTTCCCGTTTTCAATCTCTTCCTGTATGAGTGCGCGCTATTCTTGTCCGTACAATTTATGTAATGTGTAATTTCAATGTGCGCGTACAAATGAAATTACATAAACTATTGTCGGATGCCCGCCAAGTAAGCAGCACATGATCGCTCTCTTCTCCTCTCTATTAATATGAAATCGTGTGCTATTTTCGCGTTATCTTGGCAAATGCCGAACGTTCGCACTTGCTCGATTCACACCCGACGCCAAATCCTGTGTTTACGTATGAAAACACTGCGGAATAGCAGTTAATATAGACAACCACAATTGCATATTGAATTATTATGATGTGTTTATGTTTCCAGGTATTATATAGAGTAGCGATGGCCATCCTAGTCCTGTTTCACAAGCACACATCGTCGACGTCGACGGCTGGCGGCGCCGAATGGTCTGCCGACATTCAGAAGAACGGCATTGACGCTGCGCTCACCAAATTCTTGAAAGAGATCACCATACCACCAAACAAAGTAGGCCACTATTTATTATATACTAGTCTCCGTAATTTTTAGTTTAATTTAATTTTAAATTAATTATTGTTTCTTGGATCTAGTGAGAAGTGCTAATAATGCACTTTAACGCCATCTAGGATTCAATTATTTAACTATAACTATGCTTGAAACTTCATATCAATTTTCATCCTTTTTTTACACTCTATAAATCATAATTTTTGATATTTTAGTAGTTATTTTCCTGTTCTGGACCAAAACGTATCTAAAAAATCATAGATCATCAAAATCTGTCCATCCGTTCTTGAGTTATAAATGTTGTAACTAACACGACTTTGTTTTATATGCGTGTAGTATTGATTTTCTATTTTTATTTCTATTTTTGTTTTGTGGATATTTTTCAGGTGCTGAAGGCGGCGTTTGGAATACGCGGGCTGAGCTCCTCGTACATATCGCGCGTCTTCATCCGGACTGAGATGATACTGCAGAGCAAGACTGTGATACGATCGGGGCCGATGGTGCGGTCGCGGTCGAATGAGAATCTGCCCAACAGCCAGAGCCAGAACAACATCCAGATGGTTTCGCACACGCTAACGATACGCGAGGTAGGTGATTATCAAACATTTCCAGCGTCATTTTCAATCAGGATAATCAGTGACTAGTACTGACATCTAGATGGTACTAGTTGTCAATTGTTTTATACATCGACCTACCGTCGCTGATAGTAGTTTTATCATGTTTGCGCCGAGCGAACAGTTCGTGTTCGTGGTTGGATACGACGCGCAAACGTAAATATGGCAATGAATGGTATAATAAAAGGCAATAAAAGTTAATCGAGCGAGGCGCACGCGTCGACATTGTTAATAGCTTAATCCTGCCGATGCGTTTGGAAACTGGTCGAAAATATGGTGGTGGTGGGCGCACATTTTGCATTATCTTGCCGCCAGAGGGTTGCGGGTTGTTTTTATTAAAAGAACATTTTTAATTTGTAGATACGTGTAAATATTCATTTTCTTTGTAATTAATTTGTTGCTCTTGATTTTACGTTTTTCGGCGACTCTTTTTTTCTATTTTCAAATATTGGTGATGGTAGTATTTCATACTTTTACATTTTGTTGATATAATCATTCTTGTATCATGTAGAAAAAGTTACAAAATTAAGTTTTTGGTTTTGTTATTTTTTCATCAACTTCTTCGCCATTTCTCATTTCTTTCACATTAATTTGTACAGCAAAGTATGCTTTAGCAAAAAATTTGGTTTTTAAATTTTCAGAAGGTGTCCGAAGAGATTTACAATGAAATGGTAATTGTATTGGTTTATTTGATCGCTCGTTGCTCAGACGTTGCGCTTTCATCTTAACCATGCATCATTTGATTTCGAAAATCACGCTCACTGATTTCACTTGTTGATACAACAACTATATTATCGCGTTGCGTGCAAATCTATATTGTCTTGTTTTTTACTCTCTATTAATAGTCATCTAATATTTTGAGCCAATTATAATTTTATTTGTTTACGTATTTAGCGGTGAGATTCGCGGCGTTTTTGTTGTAAATAATATGCATCTCGGGCGCATTCCGCGGACGCTTTTTTATTTTTTGGCAACGAAAGGTGTTTTCATTTGTATTTCGGTCGGACTAACATTGAATTTTCCGCAGCTGAACCTGAAATAACTTCTCTCCGCGCGGTGCTGTCGCCAGCGCGTCGTCGCGCGCCTCTGAAGGAAACGAATAACAAATCGATTTGTTTAAATATAACGCAAATAGTTGTTGTTGATCAACAGAGGCAATGAAACCACAGTGTGCGTGATTTAATTGAAATTCGTAAAAAATATATATCACAAGATGTCTCATTGTACCATATTTGCTTTTGTTGTCATGAGTCATGATTTGTTCGTTTGGAATTTTTTCTCTTTTTATTTATTGGGGTATTCTTGCATTCCTGCTGGGTTTGCTTTCAATGAAAAAATGCTTTTCAAAGTCTCTCAACAGCCGCGACTAAACAGTGCTATTACGCTCATATTGATTTTCATGCCTTGGGTCTCTCGAATAACGCTTACCACATGAAAAACTAACCACCAAGCACTTGCTTGTCGTTACCAATTATAGCGAATCCCAACTGACCTAGAAGGCGATGTTGTCAACGAAGACGGTGCCACGTTCGTGCTTCGCTCTGTCGATGTTATTACTAACAATAGCGAATTAGCATCGACGTTGTTGTTAAATATTGACCCACAACAAGACGTACGTTTATCTAGTTTTTTTTTTCGCTCTCTCACTGCCTTGGGTGCGACGAACTAATATTGACTCGGGACTTGGGGATAACAACGCATTGCTCTCTTTTATATCAAGTTGTATCTTGTAATTTGTAATTCTATACGTTTTGCGTGCCGACTGCTTGTGACGTCATTCCACATTCAACCATTTTTTTTTTGTACATTGGTGGTGTTTGTCTAATCTCTATAATGTACTGTACTAACGGCGTTTCTAATGTTTGTCCTTCTGCTGCTTGTGATTATCCTCCGACAGGGCGAGCATACGCCCGGGCCGCGCACGGTGGCCGTCGGTGTTTATCCTGTGCAGAACATACGTTCGCAAATATTAGATAGTCAGGACGTAAGTTATCTGATGCATAAACACCATTTACAGGCGTAAACAATGTTCAAATTCTTTTCTTAGTTTCTGTTTTTTGTGTACCCTGTATATAAGAACATAGAAATGCTTTTATTTTGCGATATAAATGCGCTATTTTCTTTCTCGTCCCTGCATTGTGAAATTAGTTTTCCTTGTACACACCACTCAACGCGTTGTACTTTGGTTAAAATTTGCGTTTTTGCACGATGACGCAGGACGCATATTAACGCCCTGAAGTGGACGTGCGAGACGCGCATCGCATCATGGCGTTAATTTTTATCGTCTAGCACTCAGCGTCAGACGCGCGCGACGCGTCGAGAGTGCGTTCACTTTTTTTCTTTCTTCGCGCATGTTTATTGTGATTTTTTTATTCATCTCTTTGTTGTCGTCTCCTGCGTTGGATCATTGGTATTCGCGTAGGTCACGCGGCGCGCGGCTTTCCGTATCGCTGGTGACGTCTGCGACCGCTGCTGAGGCACATTATCGCAATTTTTTATTCATCCTGATTCATTTCAATATTGCTTGTTATTATTCTGCATACATATTATTATAATCGATTTATACGCATATTGCGCATTTTTTATTTCTTGATTTTGTGCTTATATTGTTTTTTTTTTCTTTCTTCTTTCTTTTGCTTTTTTAGACTAAGATAAACGCTACCAAGCATGCGCTCGCCGTACAAAGAGTTAGTATGCATCCAATCCTACCTGTTGCAGTATGTATTATTTTTATTCGTACATTTGTTTTGTTGGAGATCTCGTTGAAATCGTACGTTCGCCGCTTTGCTTACCATTTAAACCAGTTTAATTATGATTAAACCTCGTTGTTTGTCTTCGCCTGTGGCGCTTTTCATCGTCGACGCGCACACCTGCACGTCCCGCACGACCTTACTCGCCGCATAACTTTAATTAACGATAATCGTTTATATTTTGCGTTTTGTGATTGTGCCGATTTTAAGTTAATTTATATGCTATGTTTTGTTTTTGTCCAGTAGTGTAGTAATGATTTGTGCATGAAAGTAGAATTTATTTAGTTGTTTTTGTATCATGTGAATGTGGCTGCTTACCAGGCGTATACGCCATTTTGCATTTGAACACATTGAATGACGACAAATTTCGCTCACGGGTACGCATGTTCTATGGTTCTCTAGCTGTTGGCGTTGTGGTCATGGCTACCTGTACGGATCACCATGTACCAACCCATTCTGCTGTATACTACTGAGGAGCATGGCTGCTCACTGACGACGTTCTACGTGCGCGTGGAACAACACGAACCGACGCTGTTGATGATCAAGACTATCAATAATGAAGTAAGTGCAGATTTATAAAAAAAAGTGTTTTTTTTTTTAATTTATTAAATACTTACTAAATATTTATGTATTTTTAGATTTTTGGAGCATACTGTTCGTCGAAATGGGGCGAACGCAATCTAAAAGACGATCGCGGAAACCGCCAGGCGTACTTTGGTACAGGGGAGACATTCTTGTTTTCCTTGTATCCCGAACGAGCGAAATATCCTTGGGTAGGCATGGAGGGCGAGAATACTCTGGGACATGCGGCTGAGTTGTTTATGGCTGCGGATTCTAAGATGATCACCATTGGCGGCGGGTATGTTGCAATCTTAACTAAATCTACAACTATATATTTTCATATACTATAATTTGATTTATTATTGTAGTGAGGGTCAAGCAATATGGATGGACGAAAACATCCGCTATGGCAAAACGGACCGCTGCCAGACCTTCAATAATCCGCCGCTGTGTAAGACCGGCGATTTTGAGATTCGCGTGTTGGAAGTTTACGGCTTCGCCGCCGAACAAATGTAGACGTGCACACAACGAGTCGAACTTCATCGACGCATCCCACACCCGCATAAATACACACTTGACACACGACCTAACATTACACACCTGCGCCTGGAGCACCATTCTTCGTACATCAAACTCTTTGCGGACAGGCGGGAAGGATGTTGTCCTCTTGACGCGCCTCGTCACTTGTATCATTCGTGTAGGAGACGGTAGAGTAGTGCAACGAGTAGCTAGATGCATCTATGACGTGCTAAATAGTAACGAATATGAAAATAATAACATATACTATAGCTATTTATATATCCATGCAGAAATGTGTAACGAGCGATTTTATTTTGTTTGTGCTGCAATGCAAAATGCGAACAGGCTGGATAATCTCGTAATGTCTCTGCAAATGGCAATTGTAAGTGAGGAAGAAATTGAAAGCTTTAACTCGAAACTAAACTAAAAACAAAATGGCTGCAAGGAAACTAAGAATATAGCAAGATATGCCGTAGGCAATCAACTATGCCACGAAAGCCATGCTAACAAAGAAAAAGAAAAGAAACATAATACTAACGAAATCAAAAGCAAATGTGAAATATTGAACTACGTAAGGGCGGATACCGGAGAAAGGAATTCTCTCATTCCAAAGCCAACATATACCAGTGCTTGTTATTTATACCTGAGGCTTTATTGATTGTTTAAACTTATGAGAGTTTGATGAGTGCGCGATATGTTTTGCACGCGTTTGAAAGTTTATTGCGTTCGGTGGACGTTGCAAGCGTCTATCGGCACGTGTTTTTTTTTAATATGACTATGAAGTTTGACACGTGGCAATGTGAATGAGACGACCGATTTTTTTCATGGGAAAATCTGAAAGGCAGAAGAATTATGCAAATGACACACTAGATTCTAGTCGAAATACTTTTACAATTTTAATTCTTGTTATCCTCGTGTAACAAAAAAAACTATAAATTATATTTAAGTGTACATAATAATTTTCTAAGAATGAGTCGTGAATCGCATTGTTATATGTACATTATTCACAGAAATGTTTTCCGCCCTAAATGAAGACGACGAATATAAATATTGTTTTCATTTTAATGTAGGCAACCAATCACCCACTTGTAAATCAGGAATGTTCGATTGGTTGCCGGCGTTTGCACGATTCGTTGTCTTCCACCATGGCGGAAAACAAGTTGTTATAAACGCTGAGCGTTGGCTTTCTTTTATATTATTAATCGTGTATTTAATTAAGTTTCTGTTTTATCAATGTTTTTCCAATTTATTTCCGCGAAATAATACTGTGATTCACCATTATTACTATTAGTTACTATTAGGCTTGTTTGTATCCATTATTGAGAGCGAAGGGAAAGTGGAAATTAATGACGCGTCGAGCGGAGGGCTATAAACGATGATCATCTCTTGTAAATATTATTTGTTATTAAGTCGATCATTAATGTTATGTGTAGCTTACGTTTAGCACATTCATATGTGCCAAAAAGTTTATTAACGAGCCGCAAAACAAGAGCTGACGATCACAAACAAAATGGCGGTGGCATAATGATTGAGGATTCAAAGCAGAAACGATTACACACGAGGAGGGAAGATGAGACAATCGAAGAATCGATGAATAAAATCTATTCGTACAACCGAATGTCATATCTAGACATTATGAAACTTTCAGAGTTCAACGAAAACGTTTAGTAATTGCTCACTTGTTATACATAACGAATTTTACAGCGCAGAATGCAACTTTGCGTACGCATAATTTGCACACATATCATGTTGAGTCATTGTTTCATTGTTGAATTTGTACGCAAGTGGTTGTTCACTTTTCGATGTTAACTTATCAATGTTCAAATATGTATTATTAGTTTTTTCGCTGAAAATCCACTCGTGGCGAAGAAAAATGGCTGCGTACGTACGAGAATGACAATATTCGACAATTTTTCACATGATAATGTTACTTGAACACAACTTATTTATGTTGAAGAAGGCGTCGTCATTTTTCTTGGTTGTGACTGTGACGCAATGCGCTACGTATATGTTGGAATTAATCACTGTAACTTGTAATTATTGTATAATGTATCTTTGTGATATGTGTATCCATGTATTCACGTTGCCTGTATAATTGTATTATTGTAAACTTATAAAACGTAAACAAAAATGTAAAGCTAAAACCGCGCCGGTTTAAGGCAGGCGCAACAACGCCGCCATATTGCGTCGAACCAAAAATGCAAACCTGTGAACAAAATGGCTGTTTGCGTTGCGCCTGTTGTGTAACCGGTAGCGCAGTCATATTGCATAAGTTATGTTCTTGATGTACAAATTGATTGTTACACTGAGCGTTGCAAGAACGCTCGCGATTTGAATTGGCAATAACCAAAGTGAGGGGGAAGAGGGCGAAAGATGGTAGACGCACGCGAATGTTTCGAGCAATCAAACTCGAGAGTCAGCCACATGCGAGATTTTATTAATCCACTCAAATATGTGAATAAGAATTATGTCACCACAGATAGCAGCTTGAATTTCCGTTGTTGAATATGTTTGTATTGCGATTGCTTGAACATTATGTGCGTTTCGGACATTCTCTTTGACTGCTACCAGTTACCAGTCAACATTTGTACTGATATATGTAATTATTGTATTACTCACTCATTACGACTTCTTGGGTTTTTCATTTTACCCACTATTTCCCGCATAATCACATCGAATCATGAGATCAAATTGGTGACAATAGAAGATACTACCGAATTGTTCTTTTAGCATCATGCACAAAAGGAAACAATCATGTGCAATCAAGCAATTTGTGCGACAATTGCCCATTATGTAGGTGACGCTGGACATAAAATTTGTACACTAATATAACTAATTTTGATTCCCGCTAACAAATAATTTTCAGGTTTTTTCACTGCGTAGAAAAATCTGTGATTTTACAACTTTACAGTTTCGCATTAATTACCATGAGTCGTAGATAATAATAAAAATTGTGCCAAATTAAATTGTTGCGGCCGATTTTATTCTAGAATGTGTATTGTAAGTTGCCTATATCAGAGGTCACTACTCTCTGCTTGTTTGTTAATTTAACAACAATATTTATTTGCATAATTATGCACTACGGGTGATAATGAGTGACCAGACGTAAACTGTAGACGGTCATATCCCGCCAGCTACGCCTTTAGGCGATCGTGTCGAATGGAAATTACAAAGATGCCAGACATACGCTGGATAGTTATAAAGGCGGCCACCTTGCGATCGGTGCGCTAGTGACCTAGTGTGCACTGGCCGTCGCCCGCACGCCGCGCACAGTCAGTGGCTGAGGTAACATCGCAGACCGCACCAAGGTAAAAAAACGCACCTCCCGAATTTTCCTCCCCGGCGTCCTGCACAGTGAATGCAATAACGCACGCTCCACAGCAGACACCACCCCATATGCGCATCTAACCGTAGCAGCATTTAAACGCCATGTAACTCTGTGATTTGCATCCTGCACCTAATAGTAATCGAATTTTTGCGTTATGTAAGTTTTTCCGCCGAGCGTATTTGTCGTGTTTATTGATTATGCTGTTGCGCTCCGCCGACCTGAAGTGGCACAACTTATCGCACGATTTCATACTGACGCATAGAGCATTCCAGCGTACAAAGTCGCAACTTTTTTTTGCACTTTTCCCTGATTGCAGAGTGCAAAGTAGTGCAAGAATGAAAAATATGAAGTGCGTATCTCGCTCGCACTCGTGCGGCGCCGGTTGACGTCGTCTTTGTTCGTTATGCACGGAGGCACACGAAGGCGATTTCGTCGAGTTTGACACGCGACAGCCCGGCTCGCCCGGCTGCCAAGATTGCCCGCGTCGGCCGAACGTGCGACTGCTTCCAGTTTCGACAATTCAGTTTAAAATTAGTCGCGGTGACGTAAAGTACGTTTCGTAATATTTAACATACAAGTTCGGATACTGTGCGGCTGAGGCAAGCGAAGGTACGACAGCGATATTTATTAGAAAGTGCGTTTATAAACAATTAAATCGTTCGCTAATCGTTAACCTACTTAAATTTGCATTAAGACATTCATATAGGTTAGGATTTGCTTAACTTCTTCAGTGCGGACTTACTAAACCAACCATTTTAAGAATAAAATCATTTGTTATTAATTTCGTTCTGTGATTGTTGTTAAGTGGTGTTGATGTGATTTGTCGGTTGCAGAATGCACAGGGCACGGACAATCTTCAAGACCCTGACGGGTCCGCAGGGCCAAAAATTGGGCGCGTGGTTGCTCGCGCGCAAGAATGGCCCGTCGGTCCTCTGTGTGGCTCCGCTGCGCGAATACACCACGCCGGCGGCATCCGAGCCCTTCCTCAACGGCAGTTCGACTTCATATGTTGAGGACATGTACAATGCATGGCTTGCAGATCCAAGCAGTGTCCATGCTGTAAGTTCACTTCTAGAATTTGCTCAAATCTGACTTTTAAATTGCACATATTGTGCAAGCAAAATTCTTATCTATGCCTAGATTAAGTTACAATTGTTATCATTATCAAGCATGTGATTCAACACATATGATAAAGCAAACAGTTGGATAACTTTTCTAGACGTATTCTTTTTAATTTAGTGCAAAATACATGTTGATTGTTTACTAATTAAATTATGTTTTTAGTCATGGGATTCGTACTTCAGGAATTCCCAAGGTGGAGGCGGTTATCAAGCGCCGCCGTCATTAGGGCTACCGGGCCGCAACGAAGTAGCGATTTCATCGCTCTTGCCGAGTTTGTCCGGTGGAGTTAGCCTTGGCGCTCCTGTCAGTGATAAAGTCATCGATGATCACCTTGCCGTACAGGCCATCATCCGCAGTTATCAGGTACCCTATACAATTCACCCGGGTTCTCATCGTGTTCCCACGCCGATTAAAAATGTGCAGTTTGTCGCACGGTGTCGGAATTATTGGCACGCATTACTTGTGTTTCGACACATTTAATTTGATGGTTGCGCTTCTGAAACAAGCGCAAGCACGCCGATCACATGATTGCACCGCAAAGCATGTTAATTGTTTTCTGAGCCAAGGTCAATGAGGGAAACATGAATGCCGGTATTCATTGTCGCTGGTTTCGCATTTCAATTGATGTCGCACGTTTACATTTTCACGTACAATCAGAGAATGTATATGAAACTGTTGCAATTGTTTTCGCGGTGCATTGATGACTTTTGCGCACATTTGGGTTTAATAATAGGTGTGTAAACATGTGAGAGGCGTTGGCATCGTTACAAATTTTGTGTGTACACACTCCCTTCATTTTATTTTTCCGCATTGTTATTTATAGATGATTTTAGCGGATGATTTTGACGATTATATTTGCCCCCTGTGTTTTGTGACACTCTTGGCTGCGAATGAAATGTGTCGCTTTTATTAGCACAGATATATCGATGTTTATTTATCTTTTTGTGCCAATTCAATGGGAATTTTAATTTGGGCATTATTAGTGACGAATCTAAAAGTCAAGAATAATAATTTAGAACTAGATCGAGGCTATTAACAAGTTTTAATTACTAAAATCAAAATTATTATCTTAATAACTATAAAAGGATTTCTAGCAAAATTTAGCATGGGAAATTAAGTGTGGAAAGAACAAAACACATATTATTCAACTGCGCAGGTTGGCAAATTTATGTTTATTGTCGTCCTCACTTAAATTCCGTTCTTCGAACAATAGATTAGAATGATAATAGCCGCATGATTGAGCAATTACTCTGCAATTGCACGTGGAATCATTCAACATGGGCCATTTAAACACAAATCATATTTACATTTGTGCAATTCGTGGATTCAACCATTTTGAAGTTTGCCATATAACCAAGTGAAAAATTTAATTTCTCTCTTTGTTTATTTGCTGATGCATGTCGAACACAGTCCCGTGGTCACTTGGTGGCGCTGCTTGACCCCATCGGTATCATGTACACCGACCGCAAGACGACCATTTCGGATCGGTTCGGAGGTCCTCCGGACGAAATCATACGCCAACATAAACTAGGTGCGCATTTACTAACTCCACACAAATTTTAAACACAGCCGAATTTCAAAATTCGATGCAAAACTATAGGTGGGTCAGTGAGAAAAAGTTTGAAACATGTGAACGAACGTCACTTCTAAACCTAGACAATTTGTTCGAAAATTCTGAGCACATTACTAACAATCTAATCATTGGCTTTGACTTTCTTAAATTGGCCGCTTTTTGTGTGCGTGTATGTTTTATCGCTTTCTATCATCTATATATGTGTTGTATTTTACTAACATAGTGGAATGTCTTATATGTACTGTAAGTTGATGTTATTGCTGTGGTAATTTGATTAGATAGACTTATGGTTTTATTGTGTTTTGTATTTTTGCGTGAACATTGAGAGCGTGATATGTGCGATAGCCGTGTGGAAAATATACATTTCCGCCACCCGGCGCACATAACCTTGTTTGATGGCTAGAGGGTTGTTAAGGTGATGGCGTTTTAGATACGCGGCCACCACATAGCTAAGCTGGACCCGCTGGAGATCAACAGTGCAGACTTGGACGATAAAACGCCCCCGGAGCTGCTTTATTCGCACTACAACTTTGGTAAGGGTTACTTCTCACCTTCTCACACCAAATGCACTTGTAAATATTTACGTGCATTTCACATACTGAATATTTTTTATATTCATAATCAAGTCATAAAGTAAGTGTTTTTATTCAATAATTTTACTATGTTGTTTTTTTTTTAATATGAAATAATGATTTATTTGTTTTGAACGTAAGAATTGTTTAAGTATTCAGTATGTGGCACAATCACATCATGCTTGTCTACTCACGCCAACTCACAATTCTCTGTGCACCTAACACTGTTATGCTCGTCTTCTATGATTTTGTTTTGTTGATTTATTTTCCGCTATCCGCCCTTTTGTAATCGTTTTGTGAATCGTATACGCCAGTCCGAGATGGCCCATCAAGAACATACAGCCAAGAATTGGTGAAGCAGGTGCGGCATTTAGCACAACGTAAGCTTACATTTTCTTTTCTTTTTCTTCCTTTTTGACTTGTGGAGTGAGATTGAGATAGGCGACGGTGATCAACCTGAGGTAATGAGTCGTAAGTGCTTTTGTTTCTTCGGTCTCGTCTGTTTGGTTTGTTACCTTCTTTTCAATACACTATAACACACCACCAACCACCTCAGATATGCGTTCGTTTCAAACTTTTGGCTGACCGTGAGCCCACGTTTAGCTCGATATGTGCGTGGTTTAAATGTACGTTGGCTTTGTCATCACAGAGGAGACCGACATGGACAGGACTTTCAAGCTGCCGTCCACCACTTTCATCGGCGGCAAGGATAAGGCCCTACCGCTGAGGGAGATTCTGCGTCGTCTTGAGCTGACCTATTGCCGGCACATCGGCGTGGAGTTTATGTTCATCAACAGCTTGGAACAGTGCAACTGGATCAGGCAGCGGTTGGAAACACCCGGGATTATGAATCCCACCAACGAACAGAAGAGGTTGATCCTCGCGCGTCTTACCAGAGCCGCTGGGTGAGATATAAACTTAGATATGATGATTTTTCACGGTAAATAACGGATTTTTATTAATTTCTTGGCAGTTTTGAAAGTTTCCTGGCCCGTAAATGGTCTTCAGAGAAACGTTTCGGTCTGGAAGGCTGTGAAATCCTGATTCCAGCGATGAAACAAGTCATCGACAGGAGTACTGAGTTTGGTGTGGAGAGCATCGTCATGGGAATGCCTCACCGTGGTCGTTTGAATGTACTTGCCAACGTTTGCCGCAAACCACTCAGTCAAATCTTCACCCAGTTTGCTGGATTGGAAGCAGCCGACGACGGTTCCGGCGATGTCAAATACCATTTGGGTACTTACATTGAACGGTAAGTTAAATTGTGATTATGTCAATCAGGATTTAAATATTTAAATTGCATTTAGATTGAACCGCGTGACAAACAAGAACATCCGTCTGGCCGTCGTCGCCAATCCATCTCATCTGGAAGCCGCTGATCCTATTGTTCAGGGCAAGACCCGTGCCGAACAGTTCTACCGCGGTGATGGTGAGGGCAAGAAAGTCATGTCTATCTTGCTGCACGGTGATGCCGCTTTTGCCGGCCAGGGCATCGTCTACGAGACAATGCACTTGTCAGACTTGCCAGACTACACCACGCATGGCACCGTGCATATTGTCGTCAACAACCAAATTGGTTTCACCACCGACCCGCGTCACTCGCGTTCGTCGCCATACTGCACGGATGTCGCACGCGTCGTCAATGCACCAATCTTCCACGTTAACTCCGATGACCCGGAGAGCGTGATGCACGTGTGTAACATCGCCGCTGAATGGCGCGCGACTTTCCACAAGGATGTCGTTATTGATTTGGTGTGCTATCGTCGCAATGGACACAACGAAATCGACGAACCCATGTTTACTCAACCCTTGATGTACAGAAAGATCAAGAAGACCAAGCCCGCGCTGGAAAAGTACTCCGAGCAATTGATTGCCGAAGGCGCTGTTACCCCCGAAGAAGTATGTTATTGTAAATTGTATAATTAATTGGTTATACTCATGTAACTTCTTTTTCTAGGTCAAAGACGTCAAGGATAAATACGAAAAAATTTGCGAAGAAGCACTTGAAAAGGCTCGTGAAGAAACTCACATCAAGTACAAGGATTGGTTGGACAGCCCATGGTCCGGCTTTTTCGAGGGTAAGGACCCCTTGAAAGCCAGCCCCACTGGCGTAATCGAAGATACTCTTGTCCACATCGGCAAGAGGTTCTCATCCCCACCACCGAATGCAGCTGAATTTGTCATTCACAAAGGTACGCTGATTCATATTTATCAGATAATAATGATAATCTAATAAAATATATTTTAGGTGTTGAACGTATTCTGAAGGCACGCATGGAAATGGTTGAAAACCGCATGACCGACTGGGCCCTTGGCGAAGCCATGGCCTTTGGTTCCCTCCTCAAGGAGGGTATCCATGTGCGCCTTTCTGGTCAGGACGTCGAACGTGGTACCTTCTCGCATCGTCACCATGTTCTCCACCATCAAAACGTAGACAAAGCCACCTACCGGCCATTGTGCAACCTGTATCCTGATCAAGCTCCTTACACTGTATGCAACAGCTCGCTTTCCGAATTCGGTGTTCTTGGTTTTGAACTTGGTTTCTCCATGACCAACCCCAATGCTTTGGTTATCTGGGAGGCACAGTTTGGTGACTTTAACAACACCGCTCAGTGCATCATCGATCAGTTTATCTCGTCAGGCCAAGCCAAGTGGGTGCGTCAAAGCGGTCTTGTTATGCTGTTGCCTCATGCCCTTGAGGGTATGGGTCCCGAGCATTCAAGCGCTCGCCTCGAACGCTTCTTGCAGATGTCCTCTGATGACCCCGACTATTTCCCACCTGAGTCGGACGAGTTTGCCGTCAGGCAGTTGCATGATATTAACTGGATTGTTGCCAATTGCACCACACCCGCCAACCTGTTCCACATCCTGCGTAGACAGATTGCGTTGCCTTTCCGAAAGCCCCTGATCATCATGACGCCAAAGAGCTTGCTGCGTCACCCCGAGGCCAGGAGCAGTTTTGATGACATGAAGGAGGGCACTGAATTCAAGAGAGTTATTGTTGATGCTGGAGAAAGCGCAGCCAATCCCGACGGTGTCAAGAAATTGTTGTTCTGCTCTGGTAAAGTGTACTACGACCTGAAGAAGGCTCGTGATGAAAGAGGACTCAGCAAGGATATTTCGATTGCTCGTGTTGAACAGGTGTGTTAACATTAAATTTTGATGTTTGTGTAAAAAAGTATTTATTCTTGGTGTTTATTACAGATTTCGCCGTTCCCATACGATTTAGTGAAAGCTGAATGCGCTAAATACCCCAATGCCAAGATCTTCTGGGCGCAGGAAGAACACAAGAACCAAGGTGCATGGACTTACGTCCAGCCCCGCTTCTACACCGCCCTGACTGGCTCCCGCGACGTTAAGTAAGTCATTTAATTCTAATTTCTCTCTCTCTGTGATCATTATAACTTTTCCGACGTCTACTGGAAATGAAGTAACATTCGGCGTATAATAATTTACAGTCAGCCGCAGAAGGGAGGTTGGTTCAGTTCGTTGTTCGGTAGCAAACCGGAACCAAAACCTGAACCAAAATCCGAGACTGAACCTGAGCCACGCGAAATCGGGTGAGGTTTCTTATTCCATGGTTACTTCATTTCTTCAACGCAATATTTATTTATTATTATTTTTGCACGTCCTTTGCTCTTCGATTTTATGTGGTAGGCGTCGTTGAAAGTGATAAAATTTAGGTTTTAATTTGTTTGCTTTGTCTTGTTTCTAGCTACATCGGCAGACCAACAGCCGCCAGCCCCGCCACCGGCAGCAAGGCACAGCATCTCAAGGAGGTTGCTAGCCTTTTGGACGACGCTACGCACTTGTAAATCGCGTTGCGCTAATATCTATTTCGCGAAAGATAAGTATTAACGTTTTTCGACTCGGCGATCTTTGCGATTTTTTTGGTTACCGTCGCGACGCGCTCACTGGGTGTAGCGGAATCAGCTGTAATCAGTAATAAGTATGAGTAATAACAATTAAATTTGCACCAATAGTTGAATTGATAAATCAAATTATCTAATGTAATTATGAACCATTTGTACATACCTAGTACAATTGACGGGTGTCTCTTTGTTGGCTTTCTTTTCGAGCGGACGCGTCGAAATTTTACGCGAGTAAACACTTTAGTTTTATACTTGTAAGGAACGCGCGCCCTCGCGTGCGAGAGGCGGTGCAATCAACTACATATTCTTCTTCGTTTTTAAGTAACTTAATTAAAATGTAATATTTATTTATTGTAAGAATGGATGATATTGTTGAATGACACATTTTGGTGCTTAATTTATTTATTAATCTCTTTGTTGCCCTTAGAAACTCACACAAGATTACAAACAATAGAGAGCAAGCAAGTCACAACTAAAAATAACTATTAGATGACGGCCATCCCTTTTAAACGTAAGTTAAGCTTTGGCCCCAATTTTGGAATTCAAGACTAGTGGATTGTAACAATGTTAATCCAAATATGGCAGCATATAATTCTCCACTAGGCTTTCATTCAGATGCCACATGAAGTGATTTACACCAGGCACAGTGATGATCTTCAATTTGCCTTGTTTCTTCAATGTTTTCAAACCTATTGTATCATTGGTGTATATATCACGCTCCGTGAGATTTATTACGGTCATATTGTCATCGTAATAACCAAATTGACTTTAAAAAAGATTTCCTTATGGTTTTATTAAAAATTTATCAATATTTCAATTCTTACCTTGATTGCCATGGTGTGATGACGTTATCGTCGGGTCCACCAATCAGCACCAGTTGTTTCAACTTCACGAGTCCTTCTTTGAACTGACTGCTCCGGTTTGTCAATATTTCATTGTTTACAAATGGTAAAAATTGTGAGTAAGAATAGTACAACTCTTGATGGTATGGATCGTTCCAATAATTACCAACTGATGTATGTTGGCCTATTCGAGAGTAGAATAATTCGTAGGCCGTTTCCAATGCGTATCCAGGAAAGATAATGTGCAGAAAATTTGCTGGAAATGATCATGTTTATTTTATACATGAATGTACACATTATTTATGCATCTGGTAACTTACAAAGAACGCTAAATTGATTACTCACTTCCATATTGTCCAGCTTGTGGACCACTAAGTGAAATAAAATTATGCACACCATGCTCTGGAAACGCTTGCAGTACGGCTCGCGCTAGCAATGCGCCCTGAGAATAACCCAACAAATTGATACCTTCTGGATGTAATGATGAGATATTCATTAGATCTGCTCCTATTTGTTGCACTTGATACCACATATTATCCAGACTTGACCATCCTCCGAAACGGCCACAGTTGTACAGAATTGTTCCAGGATGTTTCTATTTGATGATATTATTAATTAAGTGTTTGTGCTTAAATTTGTTGTACTTACCTCAGCAATGGTATTTTTAATAAGTTCCATACTCTCATCACCAGTCATAATACCATGCAGTAAGAAAACTGGTTTGTATCCATTGGTGCTTTCATTTATGAGTATTAGAAAAAGTAATGGCAATAACGAGTATTTATTTAGTAGCATTTTGTTCTTTGGTATATTCAACTAACTGAAAGTCTTTTGTACTTTGGCTGTATTTGGGGTTAAAAAAAGAATTTACATTAATTCGTTTTCACTCGAGACTAGTATTCATTTGCTGAAAGCACTGTGTTAAAGTAAGAGGTCACAAGTTGAACTGATATCGGAATCAACTGTTTATTGATATTTTGAAACAACCTCGAGCGTTTTATTGTTCCCAATCCATGATGCAAATTCTCAGAGCAGCGCTACAGTGGGCGGTTCGCCAATGCAGTTTCAACTGTAAATATATTATTCACAAACAGGAACTAAATAAATTACTTATATCCGTTTACAATACAATGATGTCCATGCCCGATGCATTCGCTGCACATCGCTCTGCATGGGTCTCACACTAGGGTGCACGACATTTCGCCGCGGCCAGTTCGCCGCGAGACATTTCGACGCGAACAGAAGCCCAAGTAAGTACGGACAAATACCTAATAACTCCTGTTTCATGCGGTGCACATTCAATTTCTCGCAATTCAATCTGGAAACTATCCAAATATCGGTTTGATTAGATAGTATTCCATCAAAATTATAATGGAAAAATAATTAAATTGTCGGAAAACAGTTCTTCTACCGTAAAAAATTATGAAATTTGTTGTATTAAAACCAAGTCGCTTAGTATGTGCTAGAGCAGGAGTAGAGCAGGAGTAGAGCATTGTTTTGAACCCTTAATACTATTTTGCATACGAAAGTTTTCTAGTCGCATTCCTTGAGTTGGCCATCCTGCATACGACCTTGTTTGTTGCAAATAGTGCGCGTTTTATTGCGGTGTGCGCGCAGGGTATGCGATAATCCTTATGCGCCGTTGCTGAATGCGCTGCGTGGTGTGCTCAGCGCAGTTTTGTGCCGATCGTGGATTCGGACGTGTTTTTCGCGGGTGTTCATATTAGTTTGAGTTTGTAATTTGGTAAATTCCGTACATTTCGATTGTCCATCGACTGAATTTAGTTATTACTTACGTGTTTAGTGATTTATTAGTGTATAAGAGGGTGTCGAATATACACAATCGTTAATTTTGATTTGAGTTTATTGTGCGTGATGCAAGATGACCGTGTACTATCAACTTGTTTACACTGCACGCTTGCGATATACAGGTAGCATGTACCTGCAACGTCTTGCACCGTATGTTGTTATATTATTTCGTTTAATTGCGGTCTATCTGTGTCCTTGTGTTTGCTATTTTGTCCCGGGAACATGGACAATGTTCTGCGTGGAATCCGGGAAAGGATGGTAGTATCCATACATAGTAAAGATTTGTACGCGCGAGTGACTTCGTGTTGTCGCAGTTGGCTGTACGCATTTTGCTGCACACGTACTCGTAGTTCAATTCCGGACATCGAGTGAGGCACGCGTGTTCATCGCAACTAGTCCTGTTACTTCAGATCATATTTAAGTAAATTGGTTTATATTCATTAAGCAATCAACGGCATATACCAGAATCGGGGGTGACCTGGGTTTTACAAGCGTGATTGCATGCTGTTGTGTTTATCAATCGTGGATTAATTCTCGGTTCACATGTGCGCGTGTGTCCGTCGGCATTCAGTTATCGTTTAACTTGGATAAATAATTAATTCCAGCAAATGGACAACTTTGATGCCCAGACAAGAAGTTTGTGAATGCACGAATCGAGTTTGCATTATCTACAGGTGAAATGGAGATGCGAGTATTTTAAGGCAAGTTTTTACTACTTCCGAATTTGCCAGCTTTTGATATTTTTCTATTTAAATCTTTATTTTAAAGTCATTTTTGAAAAGTTGCGGTGGAAAATGGTCTGTATCTCGCGTTTTCTTGACTGGATTTTAATTCTGTTTGCTTCAGGTGATAAAAGAAGAGTTCTTTAATCTTATGGACTACATTCAGTTACCCTCTTGGGCCGGGAAATTCTCTTAAATCAATCTCAAACTTCAGCAATTTTTGTCATTTTTGAAAAGTTGCGGTGGAAAATGGTCTGTATCTCGCGTTTCTTTGACTGGTTTTTAATTTTGTTTACTTCAGGTGATAGAAGAAGAGTTATTTAATCTAATGGACTATATTCAGTCACCCTCAAGGGTCGGGAAGTGCCTTTAAATCACTCTCAAACTTCTGCAATTTTCGTCATTTTTGAAAAGTTGCGGTGGAAAACGGCCAGTATTTCACGTTTTCCTGACTCGATTTTAATACTTTTGAGTATCTGGAAGTATTAATCGTAAATTGTCATTGTCAAAATATTGAGGCCTTGGGATTCAAGATTTCCAGTTGAGCTCTGTAGAAATTTTGCCTAGTGCGCTAGTAGTACAAAAACAGGCGCTGCTTGCTATGTAAAGATATGTACGCGCGAGTCTTGTATGTAAACAATGTTTTGTCGCGATCAGCGAACGTATCGCGCAATACTGTGACCTCGTGTTGTCGCAGCTGGCTGTATGCATTTTGCTGCACACGCAGTTTAATTCCGGGCATCGAGTAAGGCGCGCGTGTTCATCACAACTAGTCCTGTTACTTCAGATCATATTTAAGTAAATTGGTTTATATTCATTAAGCAATCGACGGCATATACCAGAATCGGGGGTGACCAGGGTTTACAAGCGTGATTGCATGCTGCTGTGTTTATCAATCGTGAATTAATTCTCGGTTTATCTGAGTGCGCGTGTCCGTCGCCATTCAGTTATCGTTTCGCACATAGGAATAACTTGGATATATAATTGATTTCAGCACATGAACAACTTTGATGTCCAAATAAGAAGTTTGTGAATGTACGAATGGAGTTTCTAAAATATCTATAGGTGAAGTGTTGGAGATGCGACTTTAAGGCAAGTTTTTATTACTTCCGAATTTTCTAGCTGTCGATATTTTTCTATTTAAAAAATGTATGTATTATTATTATTGTCAATAGAACACAATGTAAAATTATAATCTCATGCATATTTCTTTGTGGTATCCCCTTTGGCGTTTTCAGTATTGACGTCTTAAGTCATATTGCATATAAATCTTATGCGCATGGAGCAAGCGGAACATAGCTGCGGCTTGTGTTGTTGTTTTTAAAAAGTTGAATAAGGTAGAAACATAAATAGAAGAATCAAATACAAATTGTAAAAACACTCGGTGGTCGAGTGGGTACGTGCACCTGCTAGCTTGCTAGTAGACACGGATCGAAACTCAGGTATAGAAGGCATTTTTCTCAAATATAAAAATATCAGGTGCTATTTGGGTTGCATATCTGAATTGTAACGAAATATAGGAGAAATTGAAATACAAGTGAAGGCAATAAGGGAAATAAGATAGTAAGTGGAGAAGTGGGAACAGAGAAATAGAAGAAGAAGAAGGAGGGGTACTAGAGAAGAGTAGAGAAGGAAGAGAACAGAGTAGAGAAGAATAGGAGGAAATAGAAGAAAGAGAACAGCAGGGGAGAGGGATCAGATTTTAAATTTTTTGGCCCGTGTCGTTAGACAGTCCCTGCTTCGGTGCGTCCATTGCTCCCGGCCCATCCTACAGCTACGATGTCTCTGCGCTTCATCCCCGGAATTATAAGGCATATCAACAATTTTTATGGTGGGGGATCACCCCCAGAGAGAGGGAACTCCTTATAAGGACAATCCTTATAAGATCTTGTTCAAATATTTCTAAGTTTTAAGTCGCCCCAAGAGAGGGGACACTTAAAAATATTCTTACATGTTCCGACCTGTAGCTGAAATGAAAGAAGGAGTACACAAATCATACTGGTTACCTTAACAATTTTTATAGAGGGGATCATCCCCTGAGAAAGGGAACTCTCTTAGAGACCTGTTTCTGAAATGATGAGAAGTCAAACATACAAATCAAAGAAGTCAATATATCTTACTATTTCTTTATTAATAATAGAATACAAGTTTAGATTTTACAAGTCAACAGAATACATGTCGCCATATTGAAACAGGACTTACGACCTGCTTAGCCGCGCACATGCCAGCCAATACTACTTCATAAAGTTATACCGGTATAATGAAATTAGTAAATAGCCAATTTTCTAGGTGATTGAAAATGGAAATAAATATACAGGGTGTTACAAAAGGAAAATTTAAAGTGCAAACAAAAAACTCTCAAAACTACAAATAACATTCGTTTTTCGCCCGAGGTTCTGGGAAACTAATATACAGGGTGTCACAAAAAGAAAATTCAAAGGGCAATGAGGAAAACACTAAAAATAACAGTTGAAGCAAAATTTTCACGGGCACCAGGGAAAATGAATATACAGGGTGTTTCAGAAAGAAAATCTCAAATTCAAATTCAAAACTCACAAATACAGGCGATTTTCTACGTAGTGTTGAGAAAACTAATATACAGGGTGTTACGAAATGAAAATTTTAGAAACTACAAAGGGAGTCAATATTCACAACATGAAGACGGAAATTTACAAATACACAACAATATTTTAATACAAAATCAAGCAAGCAGGTGCTACGAAAATAAAACACTCACATTTTAGTATATTGTGTATATATGTATTAATTGATGATAACATCAACTGCACAAAGTAACCGATGGGTGAAGTATACCTAATCATAAATTAATAGAATATCCGGCGGAAAACATCTAAATTAACAGACGGCAAGCGACGGCGCGTAGCAATTCAGTCGGTAAATACGATAAAAAATAACTATTTCTTTGTAAATATTAAGATGTACGAAGACTACAAAAACGAACAACTATTCAACGTACAAGATTTTACTAGGTCAACAAGAAACTTCAAGAAACTTAAGTTAATGATGCTAAGAAGTGCGAATCGATTAAAAACGTTCACGTCTTCAGCGAAAAGATAACCAAGCCGACGGCCGATAGCAAAATGAACGTGGTCGGCCACATGAATATTGTCATTTTAATAATCCTCACATAATTTTAAAAACCGTGTTTGTAATAATTAAATCATGCATCAACATGTTGATCTCTCAAATTTAATAAGTTAAACCGCCTTAACTTTTCGTGAAAAAAAAATTAATTACACACCTACCTAAGCATTGATGAGGTGATTTTCTATCCTGGAATATATTCTATCAACAGAAACTTCGCGCGCAGATTAACGGATACTTTCACACTAAAGAAGATTCTAACAGCCACAAATCATCACACAAAACAGCCACACGTGTCCGTTGCAAATATTTGCCGATGACCGAAAGAATACACTACGGTTAAACCAATCACAACCTCAAAACGCGTGGCGGTTTGAGAGACACGTTCGCGGACCACGCGGTGAAACGACTGTCGTGTGCGCGGCGCGTCGCCTTGTACAAGGCAGGTATATCGCGATAAAACACGTCAGTCGAACAAAAAAGTTGTCTATAAACAAACGTAGTGGTAAACACGTACTGGAGAAGACGAAAGTAAAAATTCACAATATTGAAATAAGTTAAATAAATAATTTAATTAAATAATTGATGTTCACAACATCGCGACAAATTTAAATATTCGCTATATAATAAAGTATAAAAATCGGAAGTATTAGAATCGGAAGAAAAAAGAAATGAAAAAATTTCATAACAAAAAAATACAAGAGGTGGTACGGCCCCCTTTTCCCAGTTTTTTTCTTCAATTCCAAATAGCAGAATTTATATATTTTATATTTAAATATTTTATATTTTATAAATATGACTCACTACCGCTACCTTCGAACGGTGCCCTGAACACGAGTTACTTCTATCGCTACCTTCTTACGGTGCCCTGAACACGAGTCACTTCAATCGAGTGCGAGGCAAGTGCGAGTCGGCGCCCCTTAAAGTCCGGCGCCACTGGGCGGTCGCCCAACCGCGCTATGCCCTAAAGCCGGTACTGCGCAAAATTATTTCGAACTTACAGTAAGACCGCGTTCGCGTGTTATAATAAAAAAAACTTCAATTCCTAGCGCAACGAGTACAAGTGCGTATACACACAATTATCAATATAACTCGCGTTACGGAATTTTCTCGCAATAAATTTCGATACAGGGACATACACAATTAAATTCCGCATGTAAGAAAATTATTTCAAACTTACAGTAAGCCCGCGTTGGCGTGTTATAATAAAAAAACTACAATTCCTAGCGCAACGAGTACAAGTGTGTTTACACACAACTATCAATATAACTCGCGTTACGGAATTTTCTCGCAATAAATTTTGATACAGGGAGATACAGAATTAAATTCAGTATCTATGAAAATTATTCCGACCTTACAGTAAGATCGTTTTCGCGTGTTATAATAAAAAAACCACAATTCCTAGCGCAATGAGTACAAGTGTGTATACACACAACTATCAATATAACTCGCGTTACGGAATTTTCTCGCAATAAATTTCGATACAGGGAGATATAGAATTAAATTCCGCATCTAAAAAAATTATTCCAAACTTACAGTAAGACCGCGTTCGCGTGTTATTATAAAAAACTACAATTCCTAGCGCAACGAGTACAAGTGTGTATACACACAACTATCAATATAACTCGCGTTACGGAATTTTCTCGCAATATATTTCGATACAGGGAGATACACAATTAAATTCCACATGTAACAAAATTAATCCGAACTTACAGTAAGACCGCGTTCGCGTGTTGTAATAAAAAAAACTACAATTCCTAGCGCAACGAGTACAAGTGCGTATACACACAACTATCAATATAACTCGCGTTACTGTTAATGTTAAATAATTTCAATGTATCAGTGCAACACTCGTCGGTGTAAACTCGCTCAAGATAACAGTTGTTTACGTTCGCGAAGGTATTGAAAAATAAACACGGACTAACAAGGTCTAACTTTGGCGGCCATTTTAAGGCAGTTAACGGGATTTCGCGTGGGTTCAGGGGTGTATTTTAAAAATGCACTCTTGTCCTATCATAAAATAAAGGAAAAACAAAAAATATGACAAAGGGTTCCCGAGATAGGCAAGTTTTGTCGTTTCCTTCGTTTTCTATATTACCCGCAATTAAAATAGACAAGGTACCTTTAATTCGCGGGCTATTGCAACACGATGGTCATAAAACATTTGACCGAATAATATAACTTAATATAAATTTACCAATGCAGTGCTCATTGTTAGGGCACAGCAAGTACTGCAATTAAAAGAAAACACAAGGTAAAATAAAAACATCGCATAAATAATATTATATTCAAACATCGGAGATAACAAAACATTCTGTGCTGAGAAGCGCAAGTCAGATATAAGTTACTCAAGTACGAAGGGTTCTCCTAATGACGGGAATAGGGCTTCACGCGATACCGAGACTTTTCCCGTATCGTCTCGTTCTCGTCTCGGAAAAGCGAGACGATACCGAGACGAGACGTGTTTTATCAATTTCTCGGCGATAGCGAGACCACAGTCCGAGTCTCGTTTTTGGTCTCGTGAAATTTTTTTTATGAAGTTGATATTAGTAAAATGAGAAAAGGGCCAATATATGAAATCCAATATATGACCATCTGTGAAATATTTCTTTTGTATATTCAAAAGAACAAGTCAGTAACCGAATATCATGACCTTTTTGACTTTTTGAAAGTTTTATGAAAATTTTGTCTTTGTTTATACATCCGGGGACATATTTTTGTGTTTTTCTGTACTTCTTGAAGCAAATATATGAACAGCAAAAGTATTGTATTCACTGGGCAAGGGTATATAATAGATCTTGTCAAATAAAATTTATGCTATAGTCCGGGACGAAAAAGTGTTCATGATGACAATATTTTGTAGACAACTTAATAATATTAATAATATTGTGATATTGTGATATGTATGTATTTTTGGAGTAATTAAATGACTAAACTTTTGAACTGCAAAGATCTTCAATGTTTTCTTTACACTTAAAACCATTAAATGTGAAAAAAAAAATTATAAGAACAAAGGCTTCACGGGTATCGCGAGACTTTTCTCGTATCGTCTCGGTCTCGTATCGCTTTTACGAGATGATACCGAGACCGAGACGATACCTACTGTTGATAGTCTCGTCCACCCTCGTCTCGTGTGAAGCCCTAGACGGGAAACAAAATGGCAACAATATGCATTTCGAATGTACACAGCAAACCAGCGGCGTAGCGTACCTTGTCGGGGCCCCGTATAAAAATTTTTGGAGGCCCTTATATGGAGGTAAAGGTTTTTCCTTACACACATTAGGGGCCCCCGTGGCCCGGGGCCCCGTATAATTGATACGGCAAATACGGCGGTAGCTACGCCCCTGCAGCAAACGCACACATATTTACACAAAATTATGAATATTAAACACGCAATTAATCATTAACAAAATACTGCAGATGTTTAACGAAAACATGCATCATTGTGCCATCTGAGGTTACTTCTAAGTACCTCAAGAAAATACAAAGTGTATCAAAAAGTGTGGTGTGCATATGAGGCAGTGAGTGATTGGCTATGTGTGAGTGGTGAATGGTCACGCATTTAAACGGCAGTGACCGTGTGTCACACGTGCACGTTCTTGCGCATGCACCACCCTGTCCAAACGAATAGCAATTTTTACAAATAACTCAAAACTTCAAATGTTGATGTCGTTAGAAAGTATTAATTCAAAATAAATTAAATAAATTTTGTAATTTTAATGCAAATAATATTCATCAATTCAACATTAAATAAACATTACACGCTGCATAAATAGTCGATAAGAGTATATAATCGTCATAAAATCACATATTTCCTTTAAAATTGCATCAAATCTCTTTATAAACTACAAAAAAAGCATAAAAACATTCAAATTTTACTTCTCTAGTAATTTACTTCTCAAATTACATACCTATATCATTACAGTTAAGAAAATCGTCTAAATATTCATTCATTTATTTTATTTTCTGTCGGAGACCACCTCTATCAGGCCAAATCCACCGCTACCTTCATACGGTGCCCAGAATCAGGTCACTTCTACCGCTACCTTCATACGGTACCATGAATCGAGTCACTTCTACCGCTACCTTCATATGGTGCCCTGAAACGAGTCACTTCAACAGCCACCTTCATACGGTGCCCTGAATCTAGTCACTTCTACCGCTACCATCATACGGTACCCTGAATCGAGTCACTTCTACCGCTACCTTCATACGGTGCTCTGAATCAAGTCATTTCTACCGCTACCTTAATACGGTGCCCTGAGTGGAATCACTTCTACCGCTACCATCATACGGTGCTCTGAATGGAGTCACTTCTACCGTTACCACCATACGGTGCCCTGAATCGAGTCACTTCTACCGCTACCTTCATACGTTGCCTTGAAACGACTCACTTCTACCGCTACCTTTATACGGTGCCCTGAATCGAGTCACTTCTACCACTACCTTCATACGGTACCCTGAATCAAGTCACTTCCACCACTACCTTCATGCGGTGCCCTGAATGGAGTCACTTCTACAGTTACCATCATACGGTGCCCTAAACAAATACAACCAGACGGAGAATTTAATTCTGCATCTTTCTACGCCGCGCTGAAGTTACTGACCCGCCTAGACCGCGTGCAAACCCGAAAAATACAGACATTGCATAAAAAGAACAGCAAAATCACCTTTATAAGCAAATTTTCGCAAGTTGTAGGTCGAATTCCTACAACAGACAAATTCAACCCAACGAAGAATTTAATTCTGCATCCTTCTACGCCGGACTGAAGCTATTGAGCCTCCTAGACCGCGTGCAAACCCAAGAAAATACAAAAATTGCACGAAAAGGGGTAAAAAAATATCACTCTTTTATACAAATTTTCGCGAGTTGCAGGTCGAATTACTGCAACAAACGAGCAGAAGCCGACGGAGAATTTAATTCTGCATCTGTCTACGCCGCGCTGAAGTTATTGAGCCGCCTAGACCCCGTGCAAACCCAAAAAAATAACCACATTGCACGAAAATGGTTGAAAATATCACCCTTTAATACAAATTTTCGCAGGTTGTAGGTCTAATTCTTGCAACAAACAAATACAACCCGACGAAGAATTTAATTCTACATCACTAGATACCCCGCTAAAGTTTGTGGACGCCTAGTTCGTGCGAAATGACATAAGGATGTACGTATTACGAACAGGAGTGTATAAAAGAAGCAATTTATAAACAAACACAAACAAATACAAATACACACAACACAACACAAATACACAAACAAATACAGTTAGGCGATAGTGCGAAATCGCATTAAAAAGTTCAAAATAACCGACTAAAATCACTTGGACCAATAAAAACTAAAAACTATAAGCTATCTATCTTCCTTCCACCGACGGCAAAAAAATACCGTAACTATTGACACATACGACTATTGAACCTATATGAACACTTGCGACAGTACGAATTATATGCAAAAATTATGTTTATTATAATAACAACAAATGATAAAAAGATCTTCGACGGAATCCTGAGATACAAAAGTGACAACAACCTCACAAAACAAATCAAGAACGACCTGACAGAATTTGGGATTTGCAAGAGTGACGTCTTGGATCGCGATTTGTTTAGGACGAACATTACGGAATACTGGGAACGCAACGAGTTAAAGTTGGATCCTGATCCTGGATCCTGGAGTCCTGACGATGCCCTCACCGGCGAAACAATTGTAGATTCCTCAATTTAACCAGTGCAACTAGACTAAATAACGCTCTCAGTGAAAATACATTTATAAGTTAAAAATGTCGCACAACATTATCACTACAACCCAAGTATTCTAGATTGGTATGAAGTATGAGGAGATGGCACAAAAAAATTGTTTATACACAAACAAGATAAACAAGAAATATAAATTCATTATACGATTTTTACTTCATATCAATTTCTGAACTTTTACTCCACGAAATTTATATATTTTATTATCGTGTCTTATACAGAATTTCCTAAACTTTCATAAACATTTCGGTGAAATCTAACACGAACTGCCTTTAGCATTTTTTACTTATGAATAATTTTCGATCTCTTTTATTTTCCCAATCAGATAATTCCGCAAAGTTTCATCTTTAAGTACAATTTTTGCGCTTTTGTTAGCGAAGGAAAGACTAAACAGTTAATTCATAGATGCAGCAGCAGGGCACGCGACTATTCTGTGTCTTTCCAACTCGCGGTGGAACGCGATATAAAAGAACTACGTAAATTCAAACTAATGTTCGACGCAGAAATAAAACCGAAAAATATAATTGAATTATAAACTTACCAATTGGAAAGGCATCGGACTCCAAGCCACGGCAAATACTGTAAATAAAAAATGAAAACATAAGGTAAAACCCACAGCGGACAAAAAACAATCTATGTTGTTACGTTTAAAATTACTTACATCAGCACAATGTGTCACCCTAATGATAAATAAATCAACATGTTAATATGTAACCGATTCACACTTTGAGCGCGATCAAAAATTGGCCGGACAATAAACGCACAAGTGGCAAACAACAAACAACATACTATAACCGCAAGTTAAAATTAAATAGTCGATTGATGATCGAATATAATGCAAATTTAGAAATCACAAATCCGAACAATCCGAACAATACGAGACGGTCAAAACACGCCTAGACCAACAAGCGACCGGCACGAAACTGGCTGTAAACCATCGACAGCGCATGCTGTAGCCGAGCAAGCAAGGATTCGACAGTTTACGATAAGAAAGTAAGGGTTGCGCAAAACCCGCGCGTCGATCGCACGCGACCTTGAGCACGAATTGCATATATTCTGCATGCAGCGTGAGGGGATTTCAACGACGACACTCGGGAATCTCATGCGTTGCATTCCACGCGGCGGAAGCGATAAGAAAGTAAATTGTGTTTAAAACAAACACAATTCTTGTGCCGAAAGTCCGCATTTATAAAAGTAAACAATACAATTCTATTTTATGATTTTTAGTTCATGCTAGTGCCATCTCTGAATGATACAGGTAGGAGTCCCGAAATGTAGATTATTAAAAATAATGAAAGATTGCCCGATTTACAGCATGGTATTTACATGACTATATTAGTATATACCTACATTTTTCTTCTGTGTTTCTCTGAACAGGCACTGTATTTTGATAAATTAATTGTATAACTAATATAAATAAATGTTTTAATATTTTCCGTTACTTTTTGTCTCCATTAGTTTGTTTAGTTAGTTACTGAGATAATTGATTTAGTACACATGAAGCAGAATCTTTTAGAAGCGTCTTTTAAATATTAAAAAAAATTAAATTTGTACTATTCTATTAATTACTACAAAATTAGCACATACATATAACCAATCTACGTTCAGTGCTATGTATGTGCGGTGTTATAACCTCACTGGATTTACCCTTCTATTTTTGAAATTGTTTATGAAACTGTTCGATTATTATTACATTAATAAATAATGTTAAGATCTTATAAATGCATTGTTAATTCACCTGCAGCAAGAAATGCCTTATCATACGTGGTAAGAAGTCTTCATAAAGATTTCCGACCATGTACAATTCTTGGAATAGAAACCTCTTGTGATGATACTGGCTGTGCTATTGTTGATCATGAAGGCACTATTCTTGGAGAAGCACTGCAATCCCAAGAACACATACATTTACAGTAGGTTTATAATATATTTATATGTAAGAAAACTAAACAAAGGTTTACAGGCATGGTGGAATTATTCCACCAATTGCTGAAGAACACCACAGGAAAAACATTGCCAGTGTTGTTGAAAGGGCATTGGGAAAATATTCTTTAAATGACATTGATGCAATTGCAGTTACAACACAGCCAGGTAATTCATAAATAAATACATCATTATTTTTAATTATTCATTGTAACTATTTTAAGGATTACCATTATCTTTGCAAATTGGTACAAAATATGCAAAACATATAGCCAGAAAGCACCAAAAACCACTGATTCCAATACATCACATGGAAGCACATGCATTAACAATCCGAATGAGAAAAGAAATTCAATTTCCTTTCCTGGTATTGCTTATCAGTGGTGGACATTGCCTGTTAGCTGTGGCAAAGTCAGTTAGAGAGTTTTTCTTATTAGGACAAAGTATAGATGATGCACCTGGTGAGGCATTTGATAAAGTAAGTGTTAGGAGCAATATACAAATTTTCCTTTTTATGGAAGGAATTATTTTCTTAAGTTGGCAAGACGGATGAAACTTCGCAATCTACCCGAGTTTTCCTCAATGTCTGGCGGTCAAGCAATGGAAGTCAGCGCAAGTAGAGCTACGGATCCTCTGCAACATCGTATGTCCGCTCCAATGCTACAGTATAAAGACTGTAACTTTAGTTTTGCTGGTTTGAAGAATGTCGTTCAACGGAAAATAATGAAAGAAGAGAAAGAATTTGATCTGGCACCGGATGAAGTTATTCCTAATGCGTACAATTTGGCCGCTGCTCTGCAAGTTACAATTACGAGACATTTGTGTCACAGGGTGCAAAGAGCGATGGAATTTTGCAAGTTGCACGGACTTGCAACCAATAATCAACTCGTAAGTTTACAATATTTACAATCTAGATTGCTTTATAATTATTTAATTGAAGGTGGTATCTGGTGGCGTCGCATGCAACAATTTTATTAATAGAGGCTTGCAAATTGTTTGTACTGAACTTGGGTACACGCTTCATCGACCTGAACCAAAATTATGTACGGACAATGGTATAATGATTGCTTGGAACGGTGTTGAAAAGTAAGTTTGATTTTTTTTCTCTTCATTTTAAGAATTCCACGTTGATTTATCTTTTAAATTAGGTGGCAAACAAATTGTGACATCACCACCGACTATGAATCAATCCACATTCGAAAGTCATCTCCCCTAGGTGTGAATTTAATACCACAAGTGCAGGCCGCAAATATAAGTTGTAAGTGGGTGCGTTTAAAAGGAATCGAGGTGCCACAAACGCCAGAAGACATAGAATTAGCCAAAATGGCGGGACGGACTTGATAGATAACAATATATAAGAAACATATTCCAATACATTCTCATATGTACTACATAAAACAATTTACTTACTTTAATTCGAATTAGTGCTATACAAGTTTTCTCGCGCGCTCAACCAGTTCTCCTTCCAACTTACTCTTCAACTTAACATCCTCATCAATTTGCTTCCCTTGGTCGGGTAGTGCATGCACATCAAGAAGTTTCCTTAAGCGATCCTTTACGTATTCAATGCTAGCACCAATTTTTGGTTCATCATCTCTCTGTTTAGCTACAAGCGGCACAATTTCGTCAAACTTTAACGTTCTCTCCGGTCGAAACTCTTCCGGATAGTCCATTATGGCTTCATCGAGATGTCTAATCTTATCAACTACTTGATTATATTTTTCCTGCGCGCCTTCTGAGTCCATTTTATTGATAATAACCATTGATGGCTTGTCTATCAAGTCTTTCTTGTACATTTCTAATTCTTTGTTTAACAGGACAATGGTATCCAAACAGTTTCTATGCTCATGCTGAGGACTTAATTGGAAACCGTTAATATCGACAACTAATAAAAGAAGTTTTGTCCGCTCAACATGCTTCAAGAACCTATGACCCATTCCTTTGTTCATGTGCGCACCTTCTATAAGACCCGGTAAATCCGCCATGGAAATTTGCCTCAGATCTTTATACATTAACTGGCCAACATTAGGTTTTATTGTCGTGAATGGGTAGCTTGCAATCTTTGGTCGTGCATGGGAGACAGCTTTTAATAAGGTGGACTTGCCAGCATTAGGAAAACCCACCAAACCAATGTCTGCTATTAGTTTTAAATCCAGGCGAACGGAACGAGCTTGACCAATTACACCAAGAAATCCATTCTTTGGATGTCCTCCAGGTCCACCTCTGGCAACTATTAACTGCTGACCTGCTTCATTCAGCTCTCCTAAATTTATTATAATAACATTACAAGGCAATAATTCATGACATAAAACACTATCTTACCAAGGTTTTTGCCTTCATCAGTATAAACTGACACCCCCACAGGCACTTGCATTGTGGCATCTGCACCTGGAGGTCCAAGAATAAAGTTGTGACTGCTATTCTTGCCATTTACAGCAACTAGACGTTTAGTTTTGTGTTGTTTCACAACATCATTAAGGCTTAAGTTTTCATCAGCAATCATTACCACATTGCCTCCTTGGCCACCAATTCCACCAAATCTTAAACAAAATAAGATTGTGTTAAGACTTAACATTAGTATACAAGATTAAATTATTATATTACTTTGGAAGGCCATGGCCCCCAGCTCCTGCTTTCACATAAATTCGAATTGAATCAAGAAAACCAGTCTTCTTGTATGCACGCAGCGGTTTTTTAGGCTTTGTGGCGTATAACAGTACACGATTTAACCAAACCATTATGAATCACTCATATTTATCGAATACTAATGCTTTAAATTTATTTTTGTTTGTTTAATTTGTAAGTTGTTGTTTCTCGTAACTAACGAAAAGAAATAAATTTTGAATTGAGGTTGGATATCTTTACACGCAGGTATAGCGTATGGTATGCTCGATCGCAATATACCACAAGCAATGTATCAACTCTGAAAACATACACCTATCGACATCTACCAATTATTTTTGAAAGTATAATATAATTATACTTTACGGAATTTGAACAAAAGATTTAAGTAAAGTTACTGACATAAATAAGTATGTATAAATACCATTTTGAATATAAGTATGAATACAAAATTTGTCAATTCCTTATAGCAACATTGATACCCAGCTATATATTATTAATTTTTGAATTCACAAACACACTGTAACTGTTTCTGGTTTCTTTCCTGGTTGTCTCGCTGTTCAAGTTCAAATTCAGTGAGAAAATGTTCGGGAAGGCGTGTTTGTCCATTTTCCAGCGTTTAACAATATCTAATCCAAGTCAATTACTACGAAAAAATGCCCCCCTTGCTTGGAACAACTCTATACAAAATTACGGTAATAATTTTCCGGAACTATTATTTATAACCTAAGTTGCAAACTAAAATAAAGCTCATATTTATCCTGTTTTATGAATTCAGCCACTAGAAAACGTTTTTACAAACGAACGGGCATCTTACAGAGTAATGGTAAATTTGAAGTAACACTAGATCAACGCAAATTGAAAACACCAAAAGGAAATCCCTTTATAGTGGATAGTGAACCACTTGCATTAGGAGTTGCAGCAGAATGGGATGCCCAGAAACAGAATATTAATCAAGCCTCTATGCATCTGGTAAAGTCCAGTAACAAAATGTTAAAGCCAAATACAATAATTAACTAATATGCTTTCAGAGTACACTATGTAACACTGCTATAGATAATCCAAATAATTTTAATAAGTTAGATTTGGTAAACTATATAACTAATTATATGGACACAGACACTGTTCTATTTCAATCTGGAGTAAGTTAATCACAAATTTAAATTAAATGATTTTAGATTGAAATTACAATGCTCATGAATTTTGCAGGAAGATGATGACCTATATAAATTCCAAGTGAAAGAGTGGGATCCAATAATTCAGTGGTTTTGTGACAAATTCCAAGTGGATATTCAGAAATCCAGGGATATTGGTGGGCCTGTTGTACCGGAAGCAACTAAAGCATCAATTTCGCGGTATTTGATGTCTCATAACTTTGCTGCCATTAATGGTAAAAGAAATTGCTGTGATTTTTTAAATCAGAATAAATTGATGACATGTGTAATTTTTGTTATAGGTTTTGTTTACGGTGTTGATACATTAAAATCGGTAATATTAACACTCGCAGCAGTGGAGCGCTTTATTCCAACTGAGAAAGCAGTTTTGCTCTCGCGACTTGAAGAAGAATTTCAGGTATGTATATCACCTACCTTTTAAGATGTAAACAAAATAATGTATAAAATAAATTTTCTAGTTGGGTCATTGGGGACGAGTTGAATGGGCGCATGATTTAAACCAGCAGGACTTGCAAACACGTCTATCGGCAACCATCCTCTTCATCTACTTCAACACAACATCTACAAGCGTGCGGACAAAACACCCCCAGGCGTAATTTATTATCAGTTTTATTATTAAAATCAATATATTCAGAGATCTAATTGCTTACTTGAATCCTGAACTTTCTTGACTTTATTCGCGTTACTTTTCACGAGTGCTTGATAGTACTGCATGTACTGGCGCTGGCTTTTTGTAAGCATATAAAGACTATCCATCTTCACACCTTGTCGCTCCAATTCTCGGATGCGCTTCTTCGTTGTTTGTACGCTGTGCAGTAGGATCTTCGGCACCCGGCGAATATGATACGGCTTGAATCCCTCTGCATACAGAAAGTCAATTATCTCTTTCATTTTTTTCATGCTCTTGCTTTCAAGAGCAGGCAACTTCAATGTCAGCGCCTTTGCTTCCTCGGAGGTGCACTGTAGTTGATTTGACAGATACTCCACCTGCGTATTATCGCCTAGCACTAGTTTATTGTCACTACGACGCTGTATATATCTATAAATATACACACAAAATATATTTTGTTTTATTATCAAATGTTACTAAAAGTCTACCTTTCTAAAATATCTGGTGTACATCGTACCATCCATGTTTTAATTGGATCGAGATTGTTTTTCTTCGCAATAGACATTCGTTCGCTGATTAATTTTGGGGAATATTGAAGCACCCACCAATCTTTGATAATATCAGCATTGCTGACTTGGTTTGCTACAAACAAATGGAAAATACGTTTTTAAAACTAGTGCTTAACATCTAAATATATGATGATTAATACCTTTTAACAAATTAATGTTTTCTTCAGTCTTGGCCAACGACATTTTACACAAAAACGGACGTTTTACAAATGCAACCATTATTTCATCAATAGTAGCCTGAAAATATTTCATTGAGAAACAAACTGGATATGGATAATTAACAAGTTAATTACCTCTAACTTCCTAATTAAGACATCAACTTTAGGCAGAAAATTCTGCTTCATCAACAAATGCCTAAGTTGAAAATGATCAAGAGCAGCCAAATAAACTACATCATCAAGTTCAAATGGTAGATCTTTAATGAGATTGAGATTTTCTTGTAATAAGGCTGGGGGTTGAGCAGCAAGAATATCAGGATGTTTGATAATTGTTGCATTTTTGATGCCATGTGTTTGTAAAATTTTGTGATTTCTTGTTAATATGTGGGCAGTGACTTGATATAGTTTTCTCTGCTGTGTTATCAAGTCAACTGCAGTAAATTTACGAATATCTACAACAATACTAAATGTAAATTAAATTTAAAATGTGATTACTTTATAATAACTTGCTTAATAAATTTTCTAAAGTTTCCACCACAGTAGCTTTGTTCTCTTGGAAATTATGAATATCTTCTTTTGTTGTTGGTTTCCTTGGGAAGAGTTTTATTTGTACTTTACCACTATAATGATTCGTTAAGGAAACTCCAGAGATTCTGGTGATTTCCAGCAGTTTTGAGCAACTTTGAATGAATTTTAACGCCATTCCAGCCTGAAAACAAACTGTATCCACTTCTTGTCAATATTTATTTATATATTCTTAACCTAACTAAATGGATTTTGAATTGTTTCATTATACTCACATTTATAGGCTGATAGGATTGTGCCAAGTAAATAAACTACTTGTAATGATTTATGTACCTCTCTGTTAATACCCAGTCATTTAAAATTTTTATCAGGTGTCATGATAAGCACATCAGTTCACTTTGCTATCCCATTGGCTCCACTCATCCCATCACCCTTAGAAGGTAAATGCTTTTAGTCTGTAGTTAGCGCTGGGTTTTCCCTACTTTCCGACGGTATCAACAGCTCCAAATGCGGCAAATGTATCCAAATAAACATTTCTTGCTGCAAACCTTCTGTATGATCGTCGCTCTCTTTGGGTTGTGTGAATATTTGATCTATTATCTGGTGCAGAAGAATGTGAGTATCAAACCCCTGAATAAATAATACTTTAGTCATAAGTTATTATAATAGATAACGTTTTTTAGTGCACATACGCGGATTTAAAGGAAGAGAATGTTGATTCAGATATTCCCTTATATGAGGAGAAACCAGTTCGAGTTATGGTCTTGGCAGACACCCACCTCTTGGGGTCAAGACATGGACATTGGTTTGATAAATTACGTCGGGAATGGCAGATGTACCGAGCTTTTCAAACCGCCATGACTTTACACAGTCCAGATCTGGTATTTGTTTTGGGTGACATCACTGATGAAGGATTATTTTGCAGCAAGGATAAGTTTGAGTACTATGTCAAGAGGTTTTATAGTCTATTTTCTGTTCCAAGTGGGACCAACATGCATGTGATTGTAGGTAATCATGATATTGGCTTTCATTATGGGTGAGTTACTTTTTACTATAAATACCTACAACTCTAGCTTATTTAAAATTTTTATAGTATAAGCCCATATTTGAATGAGCGATTCGTGAGTGCTTTTAATTCTCCGCCTGTGTCGATGTTTTCACTTCGCGGCAATCACTTTGTGTTGCTTAACAGCATGGCGCTGGAAGGCGATGGCTGTTTTCTATGCAGGCCTGCTGAACAACAAATAACAAAAATCGAACAAATTTTGAAATGCAGTAAAGGTATTAACTATGGGAAATGTGATAAGATTGCCAAATTGAACAAGTTTAGTCGGCCTATATTATTACAAGTAAATATATAAACATATTTAGTGTTTTCAGGTGTTATTCATCATTATGTTTTTAGCATTTTCCATTGTACCGGCAATCCGATATGGACTGCAACGAACCGGACTCTGCACACATGCCTGTAAAGAAAGAGAGATTTCGCGAGCGTTGGGAATGTCTAAGTCAGGAATCAACATTTCAACTCTTGAATCAACTGCATCCTCGACTAGCGCTTTCCGGACACACACATCATGGTTGTGTGCTGCCACTTGCTAATGGCGAGGGTTTAGAGATCACCGTTCCCAGTTTTAGTTGGAGAAATAAGAATAATCCAACTTATTCCTTAGTAAGAAAACATTTACATTTGTGATGTACATTTATTTCTCATTGTGTTCTTTATTGTTTCAGTTTCTCTTCACGCCGAACAACTACTCATGGAGCCGATGCCACATGCCGGAGGAATCGACTGTGATACGTATATACATGATCGGCGCCTTTTTGATTTTAGCTTGGTGCATTTATAATGCGTTCGTGCGTACTCGCCGACACAAGTACAAATTGCACTGACGATGGTCAAATTGTCGATAATCTTCTCCAAAGATGAACACATTCCGCTTTATGAGTTGAGTTGTTGAAAACTCACAATGCTTTCAAATTTCGCAGTGGAACAAACTCTAATTGCAAAGCTGATGATATTCTCAAAACTTTAAGCACATATAACTTGCTATAAATAAACCAAAACAAAAGTTATTTACATACATTCTTACGTGTTTATGTAACGCGTGCATGTAAACGTGACTCGATGTGAACGTAAATGTAAGTCGATGTGATTAACGTAATTTGATATCAAAATACAGCAGCAATACACGCATTGATTTTTGTTTCTTGGTTTGTATATCGAACGCGCAAAGCTGTTGCGTGTCACAAAGTTGCGAGGAGTTATCGGATTACCGACAGTCCGATGTTATTTATCGTTGGAAAATAAACGCTCTTCGCTCGGCAATGTCCCGATCAAAAATTGCGAGAGCATTTTTATTGCGGTTTTAGAGTGTCCGGAGCTGAGAAAAGCAAATGTTGCATCACAACCCGCATGTTCCAATAAAATTTCCATTCCAGCTGGATGCTACAAACATTTAAATTAAATTAAAATTAAATTGCACTTCTTTTCATGTAAATTTATCTTACTTGAGTAAGAAAAGTCGTGATATCATAAACGCGGTCGTATATTACAATCCAACAATCGTCCCAATGGCAGTGAGCGGCAACTTCGGCAAGACTAACAACTTTTTGTTCGATATTTTGCTCTTTTGTGTGCGGTCTTTCGAATTTTCGAGCAAATTTTGACTCAATTCTACGATCGACCATCGTGTTGATAACCAGCACAAACTTGGAATGAAGCGAATGAACGCAGGACGATTACCCAGCTAGCTCCCCGGAAAGTGCGGAACAAATCCAGTTAACGCACAGGTGTCACAGGTAAGCTTATTAAAGTCGGCTTCGCGATACAGCAAAGAAAGCACGACTGTGAACTAATGTGCATGTCGAGCTAAATTTATTAGCGAGTGCAATGCACTAGCAAATAATTGTAATGTTGCGCGTCATCGAGTATGCATGTAAATGACACTATCTCCCAAACATTTAAAAAATGTAAACGAAAGTATATTATCTACATCATATGTGCATAGTTATTCCAAGCCAAGTTTTATAACTATACCAAAGATAATAAAGTTATTACTTAAAAAGTCTATCACATGAGTGTGTTTGACTAAAAATTAGGTTTACGATTTAAAACATGTTACATCATCGATACCTAAACTAAAATTTTACAACTAAAATAATAAATTTTTCAAAAGTAAAAGATGGGCACAAATTCTAAATAGTATTTTTAGTTTTAGTATTTAAAAATATTAAATACATATTATGCAACACATCGTACGCTCACGCCAGCTTAACCTCGCAAAACTAGAGTCTGAAAAACGAATGCTGCCCTAATGTAACTAGTCGAACTAGTCCGTCACGAAATTGCTCCCGGTTTACCCGTTTATCTCGTTTATACATTATACATTTTAAACCCGCCCGGCTCGCGAATGGAAGGCGAAGATATTAGTAGCGAGGAAGCGCTGCAGGCACGTCACCGGCAGGAGAAAAAGGATCTCCAAGCTAAAATCACCGCCCTCAAAAAAGCGATACCCAAAAATGACAAGAAGCGTAAAAAAGAAGTCACCGAAGAGATTGCCAAGCTTGAGGACGATCTCGATGCACGCCACAAACAGGAATTAAACGCGCTGAACCAGTCGGAAGTCTGTATCATCACCAACGATATCGACAATGGCGGTGAGACGACCAACAATCAAGAAAACAACTCAAACTCACTCAATGAGACTGAACATGACATGAATGAGGAGGAATCTAGTCATGGAGAAGGCCGTCTAACACGAGCCCAACGGCGTCGCAATAAAAAGGAGAACGAGAACAAGGAGCGTAATAAACGTATTCAGGAACAAGAGGAAGTCAACCGCAGCGGACCTCGTGTGACCGAATTAAATTCGATCAACAAAAGTTTAAAGGAACTAGGACTTCAGATTCATAATGTTCCTGCAGATGGCAACTGTTTGTATTGTTCTATCAAACACCAGCTGGAAGTGACCGGTCGGCAGTCGTATAAAGTGCCAGATTTGCGTAAACTCACCGCGTTGTTCATTAGAGACAACAAAGACGAATTTCTCCCATTTATGTACAATGATAATGAGGAGCCAGTCGATGAGCCCCAGTTCGAAAAGTATTGTAATGATGTAGCGAATACAAAACTCTGGGGCGGGCAGTTGGAATTGCGTGCGATTTCAAACGTGCTCAAGTGCCCTATTAAAATAATTCAAGCAATCGGCCCGCCAACGATACAAGGCGAGCAGTTTGATGGTGAACCGCTTATTCTAACTTATCATCGCCATCTTTATCGGCTGGGCGAACACTACAACTCAACTATGACCAGTGATAATCAGGAGCAGGAGGACGATTGCTAACGCTGCTTCTGCACCATGGGGTTTAACATTTGCGGGTGTGATTGAATGCGAACCAAAACCGGCGGGCGTACTTTTAAGTAAAATAAAGGAAATAAAGTTATTAAAAACTACTTAAAAAGAAATTAGTTAAAAACTAGTGATCCTCATCTTCTAGTGAAAAATTTAAGCATTGATTGCAATTAACCATGATTTTCCTTTATTTTTCCACATCATTTACCTTCCTTCTGGTGTCATTTTCAAGGTTCAGTTTTAATAGCAGCAGTACCAGCCTCTGCGTCTTCCTTGGGCTTATTGGGATCGTCTGGTTTCATCGCAGGGAAAAGCAGCACCTCCTTGATGTTATTGTTGTCCGTCAGGAACATGGTGAGCCTATCAATACCCATACCCCATCCTGCCGTTGGTGGCAAACCATACTCCAACGCATTGCAGAACGTCTCATCTACAAGTTGCGCCTCGTCATCACCCGCAGCCTTATCTTTCGCCTGTTGTTCAAAACGCTGCCTTTGCACCACTGGATCATTCAACTCGGTGTACGCATTGCAAATCTCTTTCTTCATAACAAACAATTCAAATCGCTCCGTCAGGCCGGGAATGGACCGATGCCACTTGGCTAGCGGACTCATAATTTGCGGATGCTCAGTTATAAATGCGGGATTGATGCATGTGTCTTCAATAAACTCCCCGACAAGTTTATCCAGCAATCGTGCAGTTGTTCGAGGCGCAGGGCATTCCACCTGGTGCTTGGTACAAAGATCACTCAGTAATTTATTTGTCGCGTCTGAGCTGATATCTTCCGCCGGTGGGAACTTAACTTTAAGCGCGGCTTCCAAAGCAGGAATCATCGGGATACGTTTGAAGGGCGGAGTGAAATCAATTTCGTATTCTTGACCGTCCGGTCCATCCGGATGATACTTGACCTTGTAACTATTATGGATAGAATAAACCATGCCCGCTACCATCGTTTCGGTAATAGTGATAAGGTCGTTGTAATCGGCGTACGCCATGTAAAACTCGCAGGTGGTAAACTCAGGATTGTGCGTTAAATCAATACCTTCATTACGAAACTGTCTTCCGATCTCGTAGACTCGATCGAAACCACCAACAACCAACATTTTATGATACAACTCTGGTGCGATACGCATGTATAAATCCATGTTGAGGTCGTTGTGGTGCGTCACGAAAGGTTTGGCAGTTGCACCACCGGCGATCATGTTCATCATTGGTGTCTCGACCTCCAAGAATCCCAATCCGTCTAAAAAGCGACGTACATAAGCGATGATTTTCGCTCGTACTTGGAAGATGTCCCTAACGCGATTGTTCAAAATAAGATCAAGATATCTCTGCCTAAATCGTGTTTCTTTGTCCTTTAAACCAAAGTGCAAATGCGGCAGCATATGCAAACAAGGACTCAGGAGTTTAATCTTTTTGGGCATCACGGACAACTCGCCTTTCTTGGTTTTGGTTGGCAAACCTTCAACGCCAATAATATCACCACGGCGGATTTTACCTGTATCTTCAGCGAATTTCTCCTCATTGTAATAACCGCGCGCTGTGGCCATTACTTGAATTTTAAGACCTTCGCCGCGAACGTCGTAGAAAATTAATTTTGCGCCGGATTCTCGAATTGCGTGAACACGTCCAGCCACACTAAGTGGTTCATTTTCGCGTACTTCACCATCATTCAAATTGCTGTAATCAGCAATGAATTTTTCCAAAGATGTTGATACATGAAATTTATGTGGGTATGGATGTTGGTCACCACCAAGACTCTTGAGATTTGAGACTGCAGCTGACCTAAGTGCAAAATACTCATTTGGGCTGATTTCTTCTTCATTCTCCTTCTTGACTTTAACCACGCCGGGTGTTTCAGCAACTGCCGGTTGAGAAGCGGCCTTGTCTGCTTTCTCTTTGGCTTTCTGTTCGGCCTTCATGCGCCTCTTCAGTTCACTGAAAAATAAATATTGTTAACTATTGCATCATTTTAAGCACAAAAAGATAAGCAAAACAAATGACTACATACCTTTTAGACATGAATCGTAGTGAATTAGTCCGTAAGGCAGTAGTGGCATTATGATTTGCACAAGTACGCGTGAGCGCGTTCATTAGTTTTAACATTTTTCAAACAAGTTCGCAAAGAATTAAGGATTCTTTGATCACAGAGGTTATGAACGTATTACACGCATAAGAAAGTTGCAATTTGTTTAATAATGTAGAATGGGGCGACTTACTTTTTGGATAGTTTTTCACCGTTTTCGTCGGCCATCCTGAGTGGGTTAACTAAACGTTTATAATTAATTTAACTTTAATGAGCAATAAATAACTTCGAGCCGCGTGTGTCGGCACGACCGCAACTTCACAACGCGGCGAACATATGGAATACCTGGGTAATGCAGTTTCCTGTCGGACCCACTCGGCAAATAATTGTACAAAGTGTGAAAACAGAGATAAGATTTTTATGTAAATAGGTAAATGTTTGTTGTTACTCATTTACGTAAATTTTATCATTTTTAGAGAAGAAAACCCCAAAAATAAAATCATGGATTATCGTAATTTTGTTTTAAAGAATTAGAATTTGTTTAAACTATAGAATACACTCGGTAAAGAAGCAAAACCATTGTCGATCATATAAGTTATCATAACAACTAGGTATATTGAAAAACATTAGTTTTACGAGAAATAAATAAATAAATATTGGTGAATATTAAATTGATTTGTATAAGTTCAACATGAAATCTTTAACGTACAAAGTTTTGCAAATGTAATGTAATAAATATTCGAAACGACGTATCTGGACGTATCTACACCGAATGCATTTATATGATCTACTCATGTTCTTAATTTTCTAACCTATGTTTAAATTGGGTGATTACCTGTCATGACCATCTCTATTTAACACGTCGATTCTTTATCGTTTAAATTATTTGTGAACTTCCGCAATGGTGCGAAAAACTATTGCACCTAGCACCCTGCAGGAATACGTCCAGAATCTTGCAAAAAAAGAAAAATGTTCTTTTGGATTAATTATAGGTCAGGTACGCATAAACGTCCGAAACATATGTTCACCAAACAAATCAAACCAGAACTTCAAAAATCGTTCACTTTTAGCCCGCAGATGAAAAGGATTACATTCTTCATTTTGCTCGTACATCGTTGAACACAACAGAACAACAAACAAATCAAAATATTTCAAAAGTCTCACAGATACCAGAATTATCTGTTGCTGATCATGCCATGCACACAACAAGAATGCTTCCTGGTGGGTTATACATTCTTGGCTTATTCTTCATCACAGAAGAGAACATTTTCAAGCCAATCAACAAGAAGTTGATTACAATATTGCAGCATGTGCAAGCTCAGCTTGGTAACTCCCCATGGTTGTATGGCAATCATGCAAACAGTAATGAGAGGATAATTGTGCATTTTAATAACAAGGGCTCTAGTTTTGAAGCTCATACAGTAAACATCAACAGTGGGAGCATGCATCCAGTTAATTTCACCTTCAGTGAGAAGGAGATGCAATGGTGTCAGTTGGAGTGCAAGTTTGATTTTAACAACTTAATGAAACCTGTTGTGAAAGAAAAGAATGCAACATCATTGAAGAATCAGCTTAAAGTAAGTTATTTACTCTGTTTGCTTTCAGTAATTATCATAACATTGTATTATAGACTATTACAGGCAGTCTCAACACCAGCTTGAAGAGTGCAGTGTTTATTTTTGATGGGCAACTGGTAAATTCTTCAGATATGATAGATTGCAAGCACAAAACCAGGAGATTGAGTAAAATATTACATCAAGAGGATGATATTACTGAAGACCACAAAATCATTAATGTTGCATTACTTTTACCAACTGTGAGTAAATACATAATTAAACAAAATTGTAATAATATTTGAAGTTAGATTTTCCATTTTCCAGACCTCCAAAATTATGCCTGAAATGGATATAACAGACAATGCTGGAAGCATTAGAATTTTAGGTCATATTGCAAGTTCAGTATGGCTGCACCCAAACACAACATTTGAAGTAGCTTCACGGGCAATCATTGAAGATATTGTTAGGAGTTTCCAGTCAAGACTAATCATGCATTTCGATTCATTAACCGAAGGGGAGGGAGGTTTCCTCAATGGTTAGTAGCCCTTAATTAATATAATATGAAATTATTTGTTAAATATTTTTATCCGTGTGCAATAGATACGTGCAGTCTGCATGAACCACCAAGACGAGTACAAATACCATTACCACACGGCAATGTCAGTCTTTCCGATTATTTATTCCCAGGCGAAGGGGCGCAGGAAGCGCAGATGTCTTTTCAAGATGTATTGGACGTTCAGATTGCAACAAAACATGCGATTAAAGACCCTGAAGGTCAAGCAGGTAACTATTCTAACGAATATTCAATTTTCATATGTACATTAATAAATATTAATAATAAATATAAAATAAAAACGTTTCTTGTTAGATTTGAGCGTTTACTACAGTGAAATGGCAAGTCGCGACAGCAATGATTTACCACTGCCATCTCTACCGACCGACACCAACAAATTCATGTATCTTTTGGGCGCAGGAGTGTCAATCGGCGTGTTGCTAATTTCACTCTTCATCCACTTCCTGCGCGAATATAATATTCTGTAACACCAATCATCACCACGCAAACAAACAACTCACCGGCAACTTGTGTGATAACACAGTTGGCGTCAAAGTGTTTATCGCATGTGATCCATTACTTGATTGGTTCTCTTTTTTATTATTATTGTTGAATCAGATATTATATTGACCACACATCAGAGATGTATTTTTCAAAGCATTTAATATCGATAAGAATCATGGGTGCAAAGAAAATAAAGAATTTTTTTAAATGTGTTTCAAATGTTTCACTATCAAAACACATGAAACTTGATGTAAAAAAATGTAACCACCATACTTAACCATCGTATTATCTCCTTCAATTGAACTTGCATTTGGAGAAATCCATTTCCGGATGTTGTTGCATAAACCTAAAACGTCAAATATTAATAAAGCATCACAGAATATACGTTATAAACCTACTTCTGTAGTACGTCCTGCTTTTTCTGTTCATCACTGGTCGGGAGACCCATTTCTTTCTGTCGTTGATCATACATCATCTTTTCAACGAGCCCGCGAGTCTCGCCATCTAAATCGCTCAATTTGCTCGGCTCCGGATTTATTTTTTTAGTGCTAATCTCCGGATCAGAGACGACAATCTTCGACCACCAATTCATCTTGTTGATCTTCTCAAAGTTGAAGAGCAGTGACTTACCGTCTTCGATAACCCAAGTGCTTTCTTCCAATTTGATTTCATGCGGGAAATCGTCATCGATGATTGGCTCCTGACCTTTGATACCAGCTGTCAGGTGGCGTTTGGTGAAATTAACAACCAGATCTTTTTGTTTTGCGCGGAAATTTATGTTGAGAGGGACGCGTAACTGAAAATAAACAATATAACAATTAGAATAATACGAAAATTTTTGTTTCGAATTCTTAGATTATATTTGAGCAGCCTTGGCGCGATCCTTGAGCTTGCGGCATTGCATTGCATTGCGTTTCGTGCGCGTATTTTTAAAGAACTCCACAAAGATTTTTCCAGAAGTAAACCTACTTCACATGAGGTTAAGCACCAGCAGTGGGTATCATTACGGTGATTAATGTACCGCCTGCCAACGCCACGCACGTCCACCGCCATTAGGCACATTCGCACTAGCAATTTATCGATTACGCACGTTGATATAACGTGTGCGCGCGTCTTAATCACTCACAAACAATTAAATCAATTAAGTTTAACATCCAGGCAAGATCAACACCAACTAAAGACTTCCAATGTTAATTGCTGGGAAATTTCTAAACATAAAGCATGAAGCTTGTGGTACAAACACCTTGTTAAAAAGTTTTTCTATGTTAAAGTTATTATAATGAAGGATTTAAATTCGATAACGATGAATAATGTTTCGTTGCGAGTCTATTGCACCATAGCATAACATCGACGATGTCAAGTCGGACATTGCATTTAAACGTAGGTACATAAACTGTACACGATGCAGATGGTTGCTAAACGCAAATCCGGGTTAAAATCTGTGCAAGGCCGCGCGTGCGTTGCTCGGTGGGTTTTATTAGTTATGGAGCAATATCTGAATGAAGTGCACATGCCTCGTGTCGAGCCGCACGCAAGTCTCCTTTGGCAATGTTGAGTACTTTTGCATCACATTGTCTTTGCCATTTCAACAGCTACGGTGAAGTAAAATAGGAAATTTGATTCGATTAAATCAGCACCATTCGCAATCAGGATGATGAAAAATTAATCGATTTCTCATCAACACACGATTTCATTGCAATCGCACGCCATGTTACTTTGATCTTTCATCGGTGTCGATCTCGAGTGCAGTGGTGAAATTAGCTTACTCTTTTCCGCCGTCTTCAAGGATAATATCATCATTAAAATAACTTTAAACAATCATTCGCATTCTTTTTAGCATGTTTACTAATAGATTTTTGTTACTTTAGCGAAGTCTAACGGATAGTTTTTAATTTAATGTACGTATGAGATTCTATTTGCATTCGACAAGGTATCGGACAGTCAGGCACCGGGTCAATGTTGACCGTTTCGCAAGAACGCCGTCGTCGCCGGCTTTATTCATACGGAATACGAAATTTCATCGGAATTTTATCACTCATTCATTACCGATGTGATGCACACACGACGCAAACGTAAACCCCACTTATCTTTTCAAACCTTACTTTGACATCAACTTCGTTAATCACGAAGGTACAATATTTTAGTTCAATTTCGAGTTTCACAAAGAAAGACCAACAAAAATTTATTTTAAGGTGATTATAGTGCATATAAAGTTGAAAAAACAAATGGAATTCATGTCAAAGGTAAGTTGTACCACATTTTTTTACTCAGGACTCCAAACAATTTCCCAATCAGAATGATTCGCATGAGAAATATGTGTCGACCATGTGTGTGTGTGTGCAGTGTGCACTGTGAACGTTCTTGAGGCTAATAGTCGAAGCGTGTTTGCATTAATCGCAAACAATAAAGTTCATTTGGCTCTCACCTGTGGCGGTTAGCCAGCTCGGTCTATTAAGAACAGCAAGGCGCAAGATGATGAGATGCCGCGCAATCAGAGGAAACGCAATCGTAATAATTCAATTTACCAATATCGCTGATCATTACCATTGGCCTTGTTTCGTTTCGAAATATTTAACTGGAATAGCACTTTAGTCATAAACATCTTTATCATATAAAATTCTATTTATTCAGTTAGTTCCTTATTATCTACTAGCTTTTGTCAATGAATTCGTGCCCGTAGTTTCTAGTAAAAATGTGATTAATTTTTACTTTCTTGTTAAAAATCTAGTATGTGTCGATAATTTTAATGAAATAAGAAATGCTAATAATATGTCGATTTTCATCCTTTATTTAAAATTTTAATTTTCTATATTTTAAAAGTTATTCTGCTATTCCGGAAGGAGACAAATGAAACAAATCATAGATAATCAAAATCTGTACAGTCGTCCTTGAGTTATAAATGTTTTAACTAACACACCACTCATATTAAAAACCACAATAAAACTATAAAAATCAAAGTATAAATTAATTTATCACAACTAAAATAAACCCAAAAGTAGAAAAAAAAAGTGTAGTACTGTTGCTGGTTTAATGCTAAACATAATTTTTAATTCTTACATTAATTGAATAAAAAATTATATTTGTATGCAAATTTGACCAATAATTACAGATTGTAAACATTTATTAAACACGATGTGATTATTTATCTCCCGATGATGCATGCGGTGCAGTGCGTACGCACGTAAAACTTTTCTTCCACCTTTTCGCGCAAGTGCCGCAAGTTTACGACGAGCGGCCCGAAGGTCGTCCGATTCGGTCGCTTCTTTTCTTTACGAACCCGCTCACGGTGGTGAGTCGCAAAAACCGCGACGCGCGACAAACGACTCTAACTGCGGCCAAGCCCAACAAAGACTATACATACACTCTTGTGCGTAGCCCATGCCGAGAGAAACAAAGCAGCATCAACCCGACAACAACCAACAAAAAAAGAAACACTTTTCGCAAAAAGTTCCAAGCGACTCGAATAAAATTCCCAACGGCGCAAAACAACCAACCACAAAGCAGAAGGAAAAAAATCCCGCTCGCCTGTATTACCACTCTCGCTGTGTTATTTTCAGCTTAAAAAATCATTGTCAATGTTGCGTTCCATTTTTCACTCGGCCGTCCGTCGAGATGAAATTTAAATCAAGTTTGTCGGGTGTGAGAAATGTAGCGAGATAATGCCAAGAGTGTTGATGATGCGACTGCAATTCCCAACATTGTTTCGCACTTTAAACTCGCTTAAGAGACACGCTTGGAACTTTTGTTCACGTGCAATGGTGTCTTAATAACGGCGCGCAAATTGCACACCTGGTGCAATCGGCTAAGACAGCTAAACGTTGAGATAAAAACCATAAACTGTCGCAAGTGCTTCATTTGCACATAGACACCGAATCGAAATATGTAATATCATAAAGAAATTAATTTTAAACAATTAATAAATTTCATAAAACAGATAACAACGCGCGAAATAGTCAATTTAAATTAAATTTATTTATTTAGATAACACTAATGAACTAAGTAAACTTAATGAATGCACAGAACTCGTCCGAAAAAAAGGAACAAATTAATCGATACAAAACCGGCGACTTAATGCTCATAAAGAAACTGGTACTTGTTGGTAAGTACTTCACTCTTGCGAATTGCTAACGCAAGATAAACTTTTTAAGATGCTTGTTGCTATACGCTTCAACTCGATGCAACTTGAGTCGACTTAAAACGCTGCGGCTGCTAATTAATTAACCGTATTAACAAATGTAAATTCCTGGCGAAAAGGCGGTGTGTATATTTTATGCAAATCGCAGAAACATGAACAGGTGAGACCTGTGAGTAATATGTAACAAATTAAATTACCACAAAAAAAAACTATAAAAATCAAAGCGAAGCGCTAGAATTACGAAAGTCAAGGTTATACTCATCAAACACACAAATCATTATTACACCTGCAGCGATAGCAATCACCATTTGACATAATGAGTAAAAATAAATCAATAAATACTATTAAATGATAAGAAAAGTGATTTCACTCGTGTAGTGGTAATTATATTCATACGTTGTTCTTCAAGCATTTCTTACTATTTGCTCCAGGATTTAGGAAGTATTCATTTTGCAATTACAAACTATCTACGCGCGTACAGGTAGTTATTATTATATTAAATTTTGTACAATCATTCTAGCGAGCGCGCGCGCTTTAAAATGCTTTTAGCCTCGAGCCGAACGCACGCCGCTAATGCTGCCGGTCTCGATTCTGCGAATTTCGCGAATATTTCATCGATGATTTAATCGACAACCGACGCTCTTTGCAGGCGATCCATTCGACACGCTGCAGAAATCAATCATGGTTTTTCTGCTTCATCCGTGCATGAAATAATTAGCACGGATTTATCGCCTCGACAATCGCAATCGGTACAGTAACTTACTCGTAAATTTACGATTACAGGATGACAGCAATGATGATTTGTAGTGTTCACTATTTATTATATTCGCATCCACTGCAATTAATATTATTAATCAAACACATTCTAACTGTATATGCGATTGATATATAAATTCCTGGCTCGGCGCATGTTAACACTCAAAATTTGTGTAATAAAATAGAAATTTTAACGTAAACTTTTAAAATTATTAAATACCTAGATTTTGCACGCGACTTGGTCCCGGTAGTGTTTTGTAAAAATGTTATTCGTTTTTACTTTCTTTCAATTCTATCAATAGGATTTGCAATTTTATTTTAAACAAATTAATTATATTATAAAGAATTGATAATACAGCACTTTAGCGCGCCATCACGGATTCAACTATTTAACTATAACTATGATTGCATCTCAATACCCACATTTATCCTATAGAAAAGAGCTGCCTTTAGGGTTTTTCCGGCAATTATTCGAATTTTTCTCGCCAAAAAAACTATCCTTGGCCTTTAACGAACATTTAAAAAAAGAATTATCCAAATTGGTCCGGGCGTTGTTGAGTTATGCGCTTACCAACAGATTTTGCGATTCATTTTAATATTATAGATTAATTATAATCAAATTCTTCGTAAAATTATCAGCGGTTGAAACAATTTCCATTTCTTCTCGAGTTTTGCTCATTATATTTCGTGTAAACAGCCAGATTATCTAAATTTTACTTTCAGCTGTGGTATTTTAGTTTAGTCCTCAAATTCACACAGAACGAGCACTTTACCCCAATAAATACATTTTCCTTTGTGCTTAATTCCCTACAATCAATTAATTCACTCCAAATGTATGCCAATTAATATTTACTTAATTTAATGTAAACTATTGATTTATATGAGTATATCCAATTATTATTAAC